CTATTAATTAATATTTCAGTCGCTTGGTGGCGTGGCAGACGTCTTCCTCTGAATTATTTGAGTCGAGCGAATTGAGAGCGCGTTTCAAAGGCGGGCAAAAGCGCGGTTTCCACGAAACAAAATATGATCGAGCTCGGCATTGACACATCGATCGCCGCGTTTGTATGTCGATCCAGACTCAGGTATTTCATTAGCATCGGCAAACGGCACAATAACCTTCCCGCGAGAAACGCAAAAAGAATCGCTGAAGGAACGCCTTGTGCCGTCGCCACCATCGCCGCGAAGCCGGATATACCGATTATTAAGCGCGCGCGCTTCTCCCATCTCGACTTGTGTAATCGAATTCTCGAGCAACGAGTGACATAGACGAGGAAACCGGTGTTCACGTAATATCTCGCAGGAAAGTACAACGAACGAGCGCGCGTGGTCAGGGAGCGCTTATCGTAATTATGATAATGCGGATCGCCGCACTCGAGACGTACGTCCGCGCGCGCTCTCGCACTTAATTAACGGCGCGACGTGTTATTGCTCGCGCAGCGCGGCGGCGGACGCGCATTCCTCCTAATTACCGATGACACCGAGATAAAAGATAGTGCGCGGGCGAACGATAGCGAACGATAGTCGGCGGGAGGTCTTTCGTTTAATTCTTCGCTGAGTCATCGTCACCATTCTCTTTTTTCTCTGATTCGAATCGAAATTTTCATGCTGCTTCGACGCTCTTCAGAATAAATTACGCCTACTTAAATGGCATATTATAGACTAATAACAACCTACTTCGACGGTACCGGCAATTATTAATATCTCTTTCTCTTTCTCTCTCTCTCTCTCTCTCTCTCTCTTTCTCCCTCTGAACTTTAATTCTCTATACTGAGAAAAATATCTAAAACATAATAAATATTTATATTCAGTTGATACTAATAACATATTATACTGATATGTATTTCTTCGCTGAGAGAAAAACTCTTTTCACTGTAGCTTTTCACGAAAGCAATTATTTATTCTTTTTAAATGTTTATTTATTAGTACTCATCGAAAAAATATTTCTCATTTTTGAGATATTTTTCTCTCATTGTACAGATTTAATTTTAAAGCCACTTTCAATAACCTATTTTGATGCTAAAACGGGGAAAACGGAGAATTTCAGACATCATCAAGGTCGAAGTAAGAGTAAGTTATATTATTAGAATTAAAATCGAACTTGTTTTGCTATCTTATCTTCTACTGTTGTAGAATACAAGATTTAATACAAGGCCAAAATCGCGACGCAGGCTCTCGCTCTCTCTCTCTCTTTCTCTCTCTCTCTCTCATCGACAACGAGCAGATCTCGAGCATCCGCGAGACACGCAACGTCGAAAATCCTCGCAATTCGTCACAAGATCATCATAAGATGCGCACGCGTGACACTCGTGGTGCACACGCAAGAAGCGTCATATCGGATCAAGTCAAATGAGTAATTCCCTGACGAAGACAGCGAATATTTATTCCTTTCCGCGTACACTCGCGCCGACGAGTCGCCGATCAGCTGGCGACACGAGTCGTTATCAATAACGACAAATATATACATTGGGTCCGATTTCTCGGAGAAAAAATATTTTGCCTGGAAATAAGGAAGAGAGACGGAAGTTACACATGGGAAACAACGAACAGGTGCAAATAAGTCGGCGTGGGCGAACAACGCGCGGTGTCTTTAATCGATTAAGAGATAAAAGCTGATCGTATCGTATTTGAGCACGTGTTTCTCAGCCCGAGCTGTCGAGCAGAAAGGAACGCGTGAAAACGCAGGAGTATTCTTTCCGCACCTGTTGCATCAGTCACCTCATCGTTGCCGTTCACGGTTAACCGCTTTGAAATTTACGGTTCTTCAACTCTTTTGAACACGACGGACGACGACACGATGCCATTCGAGATATTTCGCTCTAAGCTTTTTTGTTAACATACGGTGGATATACAAAACGTATCCTCTCACCGACGTCCTCTGAATATTTTAATATGCAAAATCCGAAGCGCACTGTACATCGTTTACATTATGCGTCATTAATATTAATTTTTCATCTCGTCCGTTATTGCCCATTTCATTTCCCGCATTCGCGAGGATGTTTCTTTTTTCAGGCTTTTAGTTCATGTATTTTGGAATTAAATTCTTCATTCTGCTTTTATTTCTTTTCACTAGAACAACAAGAGCGCGCGGTAATTTAATTTTAACTAATTGTTATTACACAGAAAAAGATCTCAGTTTGTGGAACTGTTTATGAATAGACATTACACGAAAAAAAAATGATATCTCTGTTGCTGCGATCGAAAACATTTGTTCGAACATTCAGCTGCATTAAAACTTAAAAATTGAAGTAACCGAGAGCAATCGACTGAAGAGAAACCTCCTGCAGGGATTTTATTGTCCTTACAAGCGAGTTTTCCGTTCAACTAAAACCATGGTTGATATGTTTAAATAGTTTACATCCGGGATATATATATCTCAGCGCTTTTATACATCGAAAGACGCAACAGATTGTGCGCTCTTATCTGATTAGATTTATTAATACATGAAGGAAGTATGAACCGCATATTCCGGTTTCGTATAAAATATAATTTCCTTGCACTAATCATTGATATTACTGTTTAAAATTTAATTGCTTTTTTTCCTAACATTTATAATGCAAATTCATGACATAAAGATATATTATCGAACGCGGAAGAGATATTTATACTATTTTCTCCTATAAGGCATACGAATATCAACGTGCAATAAATAATGATATTTACTCGAAATTATATGTACTCAAGAATTCGTTTATATCGCAATAGGAATACGTATGGGATATTAAAATATAAAAATAAATAAATAATATACAACAATATTGCAGTATGTTTACATATATTTTCTACAAACATCAAATTTATTCAAAACATATTTCTGAATTAGTATGTTTAGTATTTCAATCGAGAATATTAAATTAAAACACAAAAATATTACTTATTCAAATTAAGCGAACTTAACTTTTTTTTTTGATAAAGTTCATAACATTGTTGAGAAGAAAAGAAACAAAATTTTTCCTTTGAATAAATGATTATGCGCTTTTCTTATATTTGTGATGAGTATATTTTAATAATGTTATCAAAAAGATATTCTTCAAGATAACCATTAGTTGAAAAATAAGTTTTAAAAATAAACGCAGTAATTGCTTTCCTTCATAGTACAATAATATTTTTCTCTCTGTGGGTACTATTACGTGTGATATATCAGGAATGCAAAAACGAAGTGTCGTGAAACGATCTAAAAATGGATATTTGTATCGACTTTTCAATAAAAACGTGTATTTTCGCGTTAAAAAAAAATGACGGACTTTGATATTACGCATTGATAGAGGCTCACTATCATATTTTTCATAAAAATAAAATAAAATTTTATAGCAAGTTATCTACAAAGTCGGTATAGCTTCAGTTTTTCAAACTGCTTTTATTATCAACAATTCGTGACATTGATAGACATTTTAAACGATATAGAAAAACACATCATAGACATTTTAAACGATACAAAAATACGTCTCTCTTTGCACCTCAATTACTACATACGTCGTATATACACGAACTTAGTTCGTGTAACTGAACCGGACGAACCAAAGTTACATCTTCATTAACGCGATTGAAAACAATTGTTAGAATATTCCGCCCTATCAAAACTTAAAATGAGGGGCAATTGTTCGAATAGAAATTTCCTACAAGAATCTTTACTTCTGTTCCTACATAATCGAATTGTTTTATTCTAATTTATCTCCTTCTTGACCTCTAATTTTCTTAGACAATAGAAAATTACAGTTATATTAATGAAGGTGTTCTCACCGTGTAACACACGCATTAACCTCGTATTGTACCTCGAGAGAGAAATTAACTCTTCGCACATGACGACACACCGACATTGTCTTACGTAAGACGATATTAAGCCTCTTAACGTACAAACTGTTAAAACGCGTAATCTCCGCGATGACATCTTCCCTTTTTTCAAAATGTAACTTCAACTGCACGTGAAGGCATGTGCCCAACACCATTTCACGGAACCCCCGCGATTATAGCCCTTCGCGATAAAGCGTGAATCGAAGTAAGCAATGACTTGCATCGAGATCGAGATTTCGAGACAGCCGATCAGTATTGCGGAAATGAAACTTTTGAAGCTCGATATGACTTCAATAGATTCAGATAATACGCCTTTTTTTCGAAGAGGATTCTTCTTCTCTTGTCAACTACTTCTTTTCTTTCCTTTGGATTTCTCCGAAGGGAAAAGCGTCATCACGACCGCCCATACTTTTCCTGTTTTTGCTTATATACACTTAGTCTGATAGAGGGATTATTTTAAAGTATGATAAAAATCAATGTTCTATTCTATTGCAGCTTAAAATAGTATTATAAAACATCGCTAATAAAGGCAAATAAATGCACACGATATCGAAGCAACGATTCTCTGAGTTACACATCATATATAATTCGAAAACTCCACATTTTAGAATACATTCTCGATTTCACGTTTATTAAAAATTAAAATATACCTGAGTGAATGTTCTCTTTCCCCCTTCTTTCATTTTTATAATCCAACTAATTCCGTAATTCAATCTGTTCTTTAATTTACGCAGCGAGATTTCTTTCTCTCGAATATCGAAATACGAAAAGCATGAAAGCGAACGACATTATTATATTCGAGATCCCGATAAGCGTTATCTAATAATTTGTAGTATCGAAAGATCGATTTCTTCGCGAGGCAGTTTCATTGGCGTGACTAATGTGCCCACCTGACCATTGACACTCGCTGGCCAACACACTAACCAGTTAGATTTTTCCTTATACCTTCGGTCGGCGAGCTTATCTCCGAGAGATGACAGAAATTCCTCGATCTTGTATCGATTCCGCGTTATCTAATATCAAATATGAGCCAGTCGGCACGCATTATCGTATCAATAAATTGCGATTGCAAAGTCAACGCGACGTAACTGGAACTCACGAATGGAACTCACGTTGTTCACGATGGCTGATGGACTTTCAAGCGGAATTGCCTTTTCCATTTCGCTGTGCGGATGATCCAGAATCGCGATCTTCATGGAGTATAACTTACGGCTGCACTCATGTCTCAATTTACGCGTGACTTGGCTAACTCAGGGCTTGGGGATCCTGCGTTCGTCAATTCTCATTCAGCGAATGTAGCGTGCAAAATAGCGCCAGCGGAGGAATCATCACGCTCGTACGTGCCGGTACGCAGGTGTCAACATTTTCGAATTCTTTCACATGGTACGCCTACGTTCACCCTTCGGTAAGAAGGCCGCAGCGAGTGCCGAAACGATGTTTCACGTCTTTTATTAAGATTTTCTGCGAATTCCGTTAAATAAGGCACGACCGAAACGAGCGATGCTGTCTTGACTGTTCAAGAAACTATTCGCCGAATAATCGCGCGTGGACTCACATAAAAGCCCATGTCAGACCCAAAAGTCGCGGATTGACAATCAAAAACTTATTGGGACCAGTCGGGATAAAACTCGTAAGAAGGCCGAAATTAATTGATCCTTCGAATTCTGATATCCCTAATTTGCAATTTCCAATAAATTTGGAACAAAAAACGTTATTATCGACATGATAGTATAATATAAACCTAAATAACTTATTATTTTAAATAATGCACTATTCTAAATAATTTATATTAATTAAGAAAAGTTATTCCTTTTATCAAGAGTTTTTGTTGCGACTAATTTCGCTGACTGAGGAGGCTCTGCGATAAACCAAAACGTTTTTCTATAAATTAGAATTGATAAAATCATTACACACACACACGTACACGCACTTGCTCAAATAGCAGCGGTCTTGGCTCTCGTAGCCACATTCCTTCGCATTGATATTTTTAGAACCATATTTGTATTTCTCTCTCTAATAGGCTGAATTTTGCGCGAATTACGGTTTATCGGAATACACCGAGACCGTCGCGCAAAAGCGACGCGTATGACCGAAGGTGCGCAAGTTTCATCACACGATGACGTTTAAAACACGCGCGGGTTCGCGTCGACGCGAAACCTGGGCGAAAAATCTCAGGAATTCGCGCGCGTCGATTAGATCTCCGTACACCTTCGCACCGTCCGCCTTGCTCATCGAACTGTGGCGGCAATAAATAAGAGAGACGATCGGATAAGAGCCGCCGGCGCGTTGGTCTCGCGAATGTTTACGAGAGCATTCGAGCAAAGTACAAGCTCGCGTCGCAACAGGTGGCCGCGCGATTTCTTTCCATTTTCGTTGACGGCGAAAATAAGCCACTCATTTCCCGGACGTGTGGCTTATTCTCGAAACGAGCTACTTCTGCAAAAATGAACTACTCATTCCGAGTCGAAATTTGAATCTTACTTTAAGTCTAATTTAATTCAACGTGAAGTCTTCAAAGGTATCGTATTGTGATCCTTTGATGGCACAAATGGGAGAGTTATTGCCGTTTTCTTCATCTGAAGACTTAATGTAGAACTTAAAATTAGATTCTGGAAATCTCAACTCCCACTTGTAGCATTAAACGCTTATATTCGTGCTTATATGTTATGAATAGGAACTCATTTCCATTTCCTCCCTTTGAAGACTTAATGTAGAATTTAAAATTTCGATTCCAGATTGATCGCGAAAGAGAGAGACGTACGATAAGTTACGAAGTGATACAAGAGAGAAGTTTCGATCGGCACGTCGAGTTTCCGCTGCTTCGAAAAATGCGGCCGAATATTTCGAACGGTTGCGATCGATATTTCACGAACTCCCTGTTTACACAGAGATCCTCCGTGGTTCTCTATTAAAAGACTGATTCATCACTTTCCTCTCTGAACGGTTCTCTTCGGAGAAAAAAACTTTCGGACATCGCGCCTTCCCCGAGAAACGCGTATTTCAGGATTTCCACACACGCCGGAGACTATAATAATTATTATCGAAGTAGTTAGAATCGAGGATAAGTTATATAAGGTGTCTCGATTAAAAGAAAACTATTTTTCCTGCGTGCTAGGAGTGCAAGAAATATGACCTCGGCAAATTTCCCCATGTAAATTGCTTTATAGAAAATAAATGTTACAAGAGCAGAGAGAGAGAGAGAGAGAGGGAGAGAGAAACTCAGTTTATGCGTACGCAGTAACGGATCTTCCGCGTATGACGTCAGTTAAAATATGCGACGTCACGAAACGTTAGATTGTTTACACGTGGCATTTCAAGCGCGGCCAAAGCTCTTTTTTATAACAAACAAACAGTCACAAAGGTACTTGGCGTATCGATAACGCCGTCAACGCTGATTAATCACCACATTGCGGTATCCGAAGTTGGGATGCCCGTCGAATTACACGTCTGGGAAATAACGCGCTGTTATACGGATTTTTTCGCGCGGTGTAATTGTCGCGACTTCGAGTACCACTTTACGATCGATGGATCGAATGATAAAGCCGTGAGTAATACCTGACACATGATTGCGCCGGGTTCTCTCAGCATTTCGCCAGCTACACGACGAATAGTACAATCACGGCGCCGCGCGACTCTCTCCCTTTCGCTCGCGATAACTAATTGTCCCGAGTTACGGGCCATAAATATCATCAATTCATGCGTCACCGGTATTTGCGATTTCATCGCGACGAGCCGATAACGTAACTTATGGCGCCTGATCGCCGAACCTGAAAAGCGGAACGGCGCGCTCCCATAATCGTCGTGAGCGCGCGGTCTCAACCGATGGCGATTCGAGACGATCGCGTGAGGTGGAGTCAATCTCGAAACGGTCCAACGACGAGAAATTACAATACGGAATGTTCACAGATGAACGACACGCGAATCACATCTCTCGGCCTAGCGTCATTCAACTTCACCGATGTCGCGCGCGTGCGCACGCTTCGCAGCTTTCTCGCTCGAAACAGCGTAATTTCACTTTATCTCGCGTATCGGTGTTAAAGGGAAAATAAATAGAAACATGAGATTAATAAAAACGGAACGAAACAATAAAACAATAAATTTGTTTATCGATCGTAGAAGTAAAAGAAAATTAAAGAAAAATTCGCTCGCGTATTATTTGAAAGAAAAGCAAATCAATTCTATGTATTTCCGGGGATTATATTAAGTTTATCTACTGAAAAAAATTACAAGTAAATTACGTAAAAATATTAAATATAAACAAATAAATTATAGAAAGACGGCAATTCCAACAGAATGATCTTTAGCGCGACGATAGTTCTCTCTTTCTTTCTCTCTCTTCACTTCCTTTCCGTCCATCCGTGTAATATCGCGTAACCTTACGTTTCGTCTGATATTACGCAAGTCACCGTCAAAGTGTGCAACATCTCGATGACGATTAGAAATCGAGGCGAAGACGCGTAACTGGCATAACGGCCGGCGCGCGTGAAAATAGATCAGACCAGTCATCGAGAGTAGGCACACAGTTAGTTGATAATCGCGCGTCCGCAAACAGATGTCGGGAGGATTGTGAATTAACTATCGCGCAAGCCGGCCGTCATGTTTCCCAGTATTCCGAAGGTATTTCCCTCCGCGGGCGCAGTTTGCTTTTACGTCAGCGGCAATATGCCTCGCGGCGTGCGTGTCGAATCGCTGTGAGAAAATGGTATGCCGCGTTTCTAACCTCCTCGCGGTGATATTCTCGAGATCTTTGAGCTTCGCACCGCGGAAGAGCAGACTTGCGTGGATCTTCGCGTTGGTTCGGCACAGGTGGAATTTCGACCGTGCAAGGTGCGGACGAGATTCGTCGCGCGGCGTTTTCCTCCGTTCGCTTCGGGTAATTCGCGATTTTCCCTTTTCGGGGGGAAATTTCGAGCGGAAACGCACGGTCGGAAAGCCCGCGTCACCAACTGCCGACAGATTATTCACACGTTATTAATAATGCGCTGTGCACACACGCTGACGTCGTATCGATTCCTCGTATCGTGCGCCGACAATTGTCTTTTTTTCCCTTCTGCTTTTGGGCGAGCGATTGTCTCATTCGCATTATGATGAAATACGCACTTCCGGATTCTTTCCGAATCGCACCGGAACGCGCGGTCGCGCGAAGAGAGAGAGAGAGAAGAAAACATTTTAACCAACTAAAGCAATAAGTTACGCTCCCGCAATCTTTCCGCGCGAGTCGCGTAACAACACGAATTGATATTGATAGTAATAACAACGCGCGATAAGATGGAAGACAGGGGCGAGTCGAGAAAATATTGCATCGCGCTGCGAACGAGCGCGCATCGGCGTGTTAATTTGATTTATTTTTCGCGATCCGCACGTCGCGCACGGCGAATCTCGGGGAAAATTCGAAATCCGGAGGGCGAGAAATCCGAGTCGATGTTTCGGTCCTGTGTTAAATATTCGATTCTGCGACACGATAGAAGCCAAAGTAGCAAGACGGGTTCAATTTTAATGATTTGCTCTCACTTTGGCCGTGATGTCTTCAATGTCCGTATTCGCCATTGCGTTAAAATTAAATCTGCAGTGTTGAAAGTTCAAGAAAGAAGTTAACAATTATCGTCAAATTAGATTCTTATTCGAATTAAAAAATCGAAACGAAATTTCGGCCGTAAATTAAACCTATGATTCTACAGCACGGTAAAGACTAAAATGATACACAGAAAATGGGTTTAATTTCTATTCTAACAACATAATTTATTCCTACTTTGACTCTTATAAACGCCTTAAATTTCCGTTTTCGTTGTTTTAGCGTCAAAATAGGCTACGCAAGGTGGTACTAAAATCAAATCCGTAGAATTAAAGATTCAAGAGAGGAGTTAACGAGCGTCGATATCGTGAAGATAGATTTCTACCCTAATCTATGGACCATCTAAGTAGACGCGAGCTACCCTTAAGTGCGCCGCAGTAGCGTCGATATTTCAACTTAGGAAGGCACAGCGACGATAACGAGACGACAACGGTGCGATGGACAACGAAAGTCGATCGGGACCGGCTGCGGCCACGGGGCCGTCATTGAACGCATTATCGCGATTTCTCGCACGACTGTTTTCGCAAGGTAGCGCCGTTTCGCCTTTATCAATCCTGTTACTCATCGGCACGTATGTGTCGGTCGCTAATCAAATAAAATGTCGCGTTGTCGCAGGGAATAACAGCGATGCCGGGGGGAGAAGGAGGAGGAGACTCGCGAGCTCGCTTGAAGCGAGTCCTGAAAGCGGGACCTTTGTCCTCCTCCCCCTCCTCTCTTCTCCCCTGACGAGTTCAATGACGTGGGTGCGTCTTCATTGAAGCAAGTACGTAGTATCGCCGTAATATTACTAATTTGCGCATTACAAAGAAGGCAAAGTTTCTAAGTCCGACGGCGTCGTAATTAGTTTCCAAGTACTCGAGATATTGCCGCAAGTTGGGTAATCATGGATCCGGCCGGATTTAAAAACGCGAAGTAGCGGGACGGTGACGAGGCAATTTGGAAAGTTTAATTTCCGATCGCACGCCCGCGCGCAATTTTCGGGCGCGATCGCTCCTCGAGATCTCGTGACGTCAGCAACGCGTCGGCCGCCGAATTCTGACTCTCGGGCGACACGAAATTTACGTAAAACGAATGGAGCTCGACAGCTCCGCGTCTCGATGCGGAACGGAAATATATCGGTTGAATCGGGAGCCAACTGCCGAGTCAAAGGCTTTGAGGATTGCTTTCGTGATCGAATAAGCGAAAAGGGCGGCGTTGGATGAAACGCCGCTACGCTCATGGGGGCGACAATCGAAACTAAGCGCAATATATCGTGTCGAGGGAAGGCAAAAACGCGACAAAAAGGAAGAAATAGCGAACAGTCGTCGTCGTCATTCGCGAATCTAGGAGAGAAAACGATCGGAGGGCAGGTAATATCGCATAGAGAAGCGAGGGTGGACCCGCGTCAACGAGTGGGGGCGATCTAGCCGAAGAGGGCAAGGTGGGGATACAGGAGGGCGCTAACGCGGGCTTGGGGTATATATGCTCGATGCGAGTGAGAGTACGCTACAGTTCTTCACCAGGAGACAAAAGCGAGACGAGAGAGAGAAAGAGAAAGAAGGATAACGTGCGGAGATCGAGCGTCGAATTCAATCTCAACATCAGCGCAAAGAGATTCGATTATCCGGGAGATCCAGCGGACGAGCGAGAGAGGAAAGAAGCTCATCGACCTTTGGGAAACGCGACGCGATCAAGTGTGTGACAATCGGTGCCGTTGTCGCAGAATCGTTATATACGTTCCCATCCGGTTCCCGACTTCTGTCACTACTTTTATTTCCTTCGATCGACCCGAGTGCGAGCACGACGATGAAACTGTCGATCGGCGTGGCGATATTGTGCGTTCTGGTCGTCGCACTGCTGTCGGGAACAACGTATGCCAGGCCTGCTAGCTGGTTCCTTAGGTAGGACTTTTTCAAAGAGAGATTTATATAATTACACGAGCTAAAGAATAGACACGAAAGAGAGAGAGAGAGAGAGAGAACGCGCGTGTGTGTGTGTGTGTGTATGTGTATGTTTTTTCCGAACAAATCACGTTTTTTGCGAGTGCTAATCGAAAAGAAATTATCGCGCTGTTTTCTTGCGACGTTGAAAGAGAGAGAGAGAGAGAGACTTTGAATCGCCAGTCTTTGGTCCCGTTCGGCTGATATTCTATCGATCGTTAAATGCTTTGTTGAGACACAGCTAAGCTCGATTTAATTGACGTGAAAATAATTAAAGTTACGCGACTCAATATATGATATTGTATACTGTCAAATGCACGATATAACACGATATGTTATTAAAATATATTAAAGCATATATATATTTTTTTCTCATATATTAAATGTTAAAAAGAAGATTGGAGTCGCTGTCCGCGATATAGAAAATAGGAGAGCCAATGGGGGGAACTTTTCGGAGATACAATACGAGGATGATGAAACGTGACAGTACCGGGCAGATCTCGATCAGAAGATGAAGAGCGATCGGCTCCTACCCACGTACGTTTGTCGAACGTATCCGACGCTTTGTCGCTTTGTACGCTCGCGAGATTAGCACGGTTATTAAAGAGAGCGACAAGTGTGTGTCTCTCTTTCTGTGTATCGAGATTAAAAACGCCGACGATCACGACCGATCGTTGACGCAACCGTCGAGTCGCGGGACACGCGTGGAAATAATTCGCGAAGGGAGAAATCGGATACTTCATCCGTGTTAACGTCTCGTCTCTCGCGCAATCTCTCATACAAGCCAGTGAGAAGAAGAAGAAGAACATCTCGTTAATTCACCGAACGTGCCGATCTTTGTTACAGCCGGCAGAAACGCTTGTCCGACCAGAGAATCGCCGAGCTCGATACGCTGATCGCACTGGAGAAACTGAAGGGCTACATCGTCCCGGTGGGACTGGGAAAACTCGACCCGGCTGTCATGTAAGTTCATCTTCCGATTTACAATCGTCGTTGCTTCATTCAACGCCGATATATCGCCCTTATTTACGGCTTATCTCGTCGATTATTTCAATTATCGCATTCCCGAGCCCCGATCTCGATCCGCCGATCGCACTTTGATTTCACTTCTTCTCTGGACTTCTCTCGACTTCTCTGGACTTTCGTAGAGGAACACGAACACACACATACCCACACACAAACACACACATGATAGTGTTCTAAGGTCCTCTAGCTAGCTAATTCTCATCGACTTTTATCGCTATTATCGTGACAGGCGCGATTAAATAGTAACACCGGGGAAGCGTATCGTCGCGATAAGAAATACCTCTTCCTTGAGAATTCCACGAGTCTCTTGCGGGTCTTCTCGCGGAAAAGGAATCGTCCTCCTTAAAGCCTCGCGCAAAGGTATGATCGAAGCGATCACGCTGAATCACGTGTAATTACATTCCGCACGGAAAAAAGAAAGCTCCGTTGGCAGCAACTAAATAAGGGCCAGATGAAGACTCGGTGAGAAGAAATAAAGACTCGGGGACGAGAAGTGGTATCTCCGTTACCACAACTGACATCCGTTTGAACGTTCAGCCGCGGCTTGAAACTAGGTTGAGATAACTGAGAATTGAACGATTGACTGAATAGAAAATTCCTGCTGGAATTTTTCGATATTTTTCTTACAACCGAGTTTTCGTCGGGAAATTCCAGTTGCACCGACGGAATGGTTTTTTTTTCCGCCTCGCGTTCCGTCCGTTATTCGAATTTCTCGACGGCGATCCACGGCGATAGTATCTCGCGCGCGACATAGAGAAAAATACATGAGCGATCCTCCACGGAGGGGAATTATATAAAATAATTTTCAATATTCTCCACGTCGGGGAGACGCGAAGCTGCCCTCCTGTCGAGGAGATCCTATCGATCGCGGCTGCACTTGTTGCTTCTCCTTTGTACCTTCGGCTGATCTCTGCAGGACGGTCACGAGCGCGGCGGAAAGCCCGAGTCAAAAAAGAAAGAAGGAAATCGACGACACGAGGGAAGAGTCGAAATGAGAAATTCATTTCCGCGCGGCGGGAACGAACGTGGCGAGTGCGCGCGCGCGTCGCTCTCGGCGAATTATCCGCGTGACGTCACAACAGAATTTCTGTACAATTAATAATGCGAACTCGAGACATCGATTTTCAAGCGGAAGGAGGAAAAAAAAGGGGGGAGGGGGGAAGGAACGGAAAAAGAGAAAACAACTAAGAGGAGTGAAGCGACCTCGCATCCGGCAAATACTTACGTTGCATTCGTAAACGTTCGCCGCCGCGATACTTATCGAATAACATAATTGTTATTTATCCCGCACGCTGGAAAGAGTAAGATACGTGGAGAGCGAGGAAGAGAGAGAAAGAGATACGTGGAAATAAAACGACGATAGTAACGCAACCTTTAACTAAATTATCTCTTTCTCTCTCTCTCTCTCTCTCTTTCTCCCCTTTAACTAAATTATCTCTTTCTCTCTCTCGCTCTCTTTTCTTATCCCAGGCTGAATACCGCGCGAATAAATTTCTATTCAGATGTTCTTACCCGTGGCACTCGGAAAAGGGACCTCGTGAGCCGGAGGCACGATCGCTCCTCTCGCGAACGCGGCGAATAAATTAATGAACAATATATTCACGGTGTTGGCGTCGTAATTAATACCGAGCATAAATATCGTCGCGTAATTGTATGCCATGTACATATCGCTCGGTGATAGATAAGCGGCGTGATGAGCTCGCGAAGCGCCTTCTTTCTTTTGGTCGCTCCCACGACGGGCGCGTCGTTGCGTAAGTGACGTTACGGTACAACTGTGTGATCATGTGTGGTAACCGCGCAAATCGGAATATTCGCGAATAACGCTGCTGAATAACACACGTGGGAGCGTATAAGTGCGCAAATTAGACGCGCAATTCGTGTGAATCGCGCGAGCGGAGCGCGTGCCGGAGAAATCCGGCGACCTGTAGCGGGCAGTTTTGCGCAATTACCCCGACGCTCCGCTCGAGAAATGAGAAGGTCATGGTATGGGAGCGTTATGATATCTCCTCGTCCCAAGTCTCGAATCTCGTCTCGACGGTAGCATCTCGAATTCATGTCGGTCTCGGAGACAAATCGTACGAAAGAAGGAGAAGACGAAGATTGTAGGGATCAACAGGTCCCTCGCGACCGTGTCTCTCTCTCTTTCTCTCGCTTTTGGGATAACGGTCAGACGCGAAGAAATGATACGAAATATCGAAACCTCGGTGAACGGCGAAAATATGAGCGACGTGACTACCGTGGATGTCTCTAGAGCCTCTATCAGACAGGTATCGGAAACTAAAAATCGCGAATCGCATATTGGAATTTGACTGATCGAAAAACGGCGCGAGGAAACGATCGATCGAACTTGGTCGATTCGTCGAATTTTACTTTCTAATCCGCCATCCTGCATCGTCAATTGCGCAGTTTGACACGGATTTCACGAACGTTAGAGAGAGGGTGAAGGGGGGGGGGGCGAAGCAAGGTTCTCGCACTCAACAGCTCTTCGTTATTGCGTGAGACGCGATCCTGCTATCGCGATATTCGCGAGCACGACTACGAGCGATGACGACGCTGTTATCAGCGCGTGACAATTAATTAAACCGCAATAAACTAATCGTATGATAGGGATTGCCACACTTAACAGGATTCTCGCGCGGTTCGACTGATTTCCACCACGCTCTTTCGGCCGGCCAATAAAAGACACAAGAGTCATACAAGTTGATCCGTGACCGTATTCGCGAACGATTGCGCGATCAAGATCGCAGAACGATCATGACATCTTATATGTTTCCTGCTCCCCCCCCCCTTCTCTTCGTTGCATTATGGCAAAAGAGATGACGATGGGACACGGGTTTTGGACTCCGGCGAACGGCGCGGATTGGCAGCTGTCGCGGCAAATTTCGCGCGAATCATTGACGCGAGATTTGCCGCGAGCGTGTGAAATAATCGCACGTAACTCTCTTCGTCGTGACGTCACATATTGCGCAACATATTGCTCGGGAATTGCTATTATCGCATCTATCATTCGCGATTTCGCCCGCAGCACAAATCGATACTTCGCGATCGGCGGGTCAATTGTTTGACGCCGCTTGATTTTCTTCTTCGCAGAGGCCGCCGACGGAGATCCGTTCCGGAGGACGATCTTCGGAAGCTGCAGCGTCTCCTACTCATCGTCGGCCAAGATCAATTTCGTCCCTCGCCTTGGGTAAGTAACGCGATTCAAGATTGAGTTAATAAACGAGTGCGTGTGAACGAATGTTTAGTCTCTCTCTCTCTTTCGTCTTTCGCTCTTGTTTTGTAAATAGTTCCTTTATTCTTTAAATTTCTTGAAACGAAATTTCACTTAAATAAAAGGCCGATAACCAAGATTCAAGTGATTATTTATTTGTACAGAATAAATTCTCAGAGTAAACCAAACTCGAAACTGAAGAGTGAGTCTGACGTACTTCACCGTCACGGGGTAACAAATTCACTCCAATCGATTGAAACATTCGCTCGTGAGGTAGAATTCATTCCAAGTCTGAGTGAAACATTCACTCTTGCAATCTCGAGCGGCATTTCCACTATCGCTTCGACTGAAAATACCGCCATTTTTCTTTTTCTTTAAATATTTATCCCGGTATTTATCCAGAAACCCGAGTCTTTCGGGATTACCCGGGTAACTGCACACAAAAAAATACATATTGCACTTAAGTAAATGTTACTTGTTTCAAATATTTTATCGGTTTATATATCCGTAAATACAGTGGCGTATATTTCATCGGTTTATATATCCGTAAATTCTGCGGACACGTACTTACGTACACTGTGGTAGTAGGTCAAAATTTCTGCAATGTAAACAGTACTTATTAGTACCTACCGAATAATGTAGGTAGAGAGACGTGTTGTGACAGCTGAGCAAATGATGAGCAAACAAAAGAATATAACGCTAGAACAATGTCGGCAAATACAGCAACTTCGCAAAAATGGTCTTATTGGAAGATTTCTACAAAGCTTGGGATATCTGTTATGGCTTGTTATGAACTCACTAACTAATACAACTGTAGGTGTCCGGACAGCTTAATCCGGTATTACTTGGATATCCCGAAATATATCTGGATTATGCCGACAGCGCTACTATCTATCCATTTGCGTTGCTTCGCCGCAATCTTGCTGTGCTCGCTTATCTATCCTACTCCTATCACGTCACCGCATCGTTACGAAATTTACCAAATGCCGGCTGATTAACGACTCGCCCGCGGATCCCACTTAACGCGGAGCGCGCGAAGTCGCGATAATTGTTTCGAACGCTATTCGTCAGCACGCCCTTCATTCCCGAGACGTGCCGTAAAATTTAAACATCTTCCGGTAGCGGCTCGTTCTCTCGTCCGGTCGTTTATCACACACCGTCACCCCGCCCGAGTGATAATTTCACGACAAGGAAAGATTGAACGGACCGTCGTCGAGGCGCATGCTGCGAAACGTAATGAACTCCGTGCGTGTAATTAGCGGCTTCCTAACGCACGAGGTCTCCGAGGTCGTCTTCTTTTTCTTCGCGGGAGAAATGCTAACGCCTCCGCGTAGTAAACGATTCGTCCGTTTGCACTCATTCTCTTATACTCGATATATTCTTTCGTTCGCTCGATTGATCGTCGAGTATCCCGGATACAGCGGATACGTCGTGGCGTACGCGAAGTACGCGCGAAATACGCGAACGAGGCTTTGTCTCCGTTTTCAATCTGTTATTGGCAGATCGGCGCGCTAATTCCATTCCCTCTTGTTCTAATTGCAGAAGGAAGATTCGCAGGAGGTGCAGGGAGACTATTAGTTGATTTAATTCAGAAGCTCGACGTCGCTCGAGGATGAGGCGAAAGTCAGGGAAGTGCGGCGAAAGAAATGGAGGAAGGACGGAGCGGGGGAGACGGGAAGGAGAGAAAACGTAGGGAGAAGAAGCAGGAAGTAAACAATTAGGGAAGATACACCTACACACAGGTACACGTAAAACACACACACACATACACACGCGTATACACACGTACATTTAACCGATCTCTCGCCCGTGATCCGTCGACAACGCGCTACCTACGGACCAGCTTCCGTCCGAGCTTCGATTTCTTTACGAACTTGCGAACTTTACTTAAGAAAGTATTCTAAGTAATTATCTCGGAGTAGAAACTATGTGAATTTCGCGCGTATTGCGCGAGAGGGGGCCGCATCAGCGGGAGAAAACGGAAGCGCATCGGCAGATTACCCTGCAGAGAACGACACGAGTGTTTCCCGCCGGCCGGACGGCGCAATCGCGCAATCCTTCATTTCGAGTATGCTCGACTGCTTAAACGAGAACAGTATTTCGAAACGTGAGTCGTCCCTAGTATTCGTTAGTAGTGCCGAATCCGCGCGAGAGAAGCGTTCTTGCAGCGGCGCGTTAGATATCCCCTTAGAGTAGCTATAAATCTCTTCGATTTCATTCGCCCGATCGCGCCTCCTCGTGAGATACGCGCGACGCTTTTGTCGCCGTTTTTCCGAAGCGCGCGCGCGTCTCCCCCACGGGTCGACGATTTCGAGAGGATCGCGTCACTTGCGGTGATTTTCGTCTAACTCCGGTCAAGTTAACCAATGAACAAAAAACAATCCCCGGTAAAAATTAATGCAGTCTCCTTAATCTATCTAAGTTACTGTCTAATATTAATGAATTCTCAGTTTTTAGTTGTGACAATACTGCGTAGGAAATCGACAAGAATTTGATCGAGTTTTATTCGGGGATTCTTCTAGGACGAAACTGCCCATTCTTTTCACAAGGAAAGTTTATTAATCAATTGAATAATTTTTCCTGCCCATTTTTTGTCTACTTTTGTTCCATTTACTGTTCTGTTTTCGTTCTGTGAATGGGGTGATCTTTTGCGCACACACGGAAAAAAGTTTAGTTGTGTTAACCAGAGAGAGAACAACCAGGTGCATTTTGGTTGAAGAAAACGGAATTTCTAGTCCCACAGGAACCACATTTGGATCATAAGAACCAGAAATTCTGTTTCCTTCAACCTGAACGCACCTGGTTGTTCCTTTTCTGGTCAGTGCGATCAGATTATTTTCCAAGAAGGTGTAAGAAAAGCGTCACGTCTTGATTGAGATCCCCAGTAGGTTTTACTCCTCGGTTGCTAGGGAGAAGTTAATAAACTGTCCGGTAATTGCTTGAAAAAAATGCATCGAAATTTCTACCGGGGAATAAGAATCGCCAAAATCAATCTCCAGTTCTGTAACATGCCGTTCATCATTTCTATCTGTGTTAGCGAGATGGAGCGGGTAACACTTGTATCCGAATTCATCGATTAGCACGTTCGTGGAGTTTCACGAGAGTCACCTTTATCCGCCGCTGATTAACCCCCCGAGTCTGACAGCCGTGCGAATAATTTTCCCACTAATCTCCCAGTGCGAAGGATCAAACGGATGGAGCGAGCGAGGAATCTCATCGCGATGCAACGTCGTGTCTGCCATTACAATTAAATCAAGCTGTCCTTCCAGCGGAATAAATCGCGGAGATGAGGCACGGCCGAGCGTTGCGCGGCTTACTGATTGTGTCCGCATCCGCAAGAGCACAAAGCGAAGGTAACGTCATTCTTCTTCGTACGCGGGAAAAGATTTACAAATTTACTTCAGACAGTATTACAACGAACGCGCGAAACGTGACGATAAAAACAAATATCTTCGACGCGATCTCGCGGGAGAGGATTCCACGAACTTCTCGCCCGCTCCGTCCCGCGGTTTTGTACGCGGTGAGCTTGCGTCATCCGCTAGTTTCTTAGTCCGTTAACAAAATGCGTTTCCTTTCCGTTAGCAAAACGGCGAAATTTCATCGCGCACACCTTGAGCGTAAAGGACCAAGAGATTTCGAAGCGTCCGCGAGCGCGTCGCCGAGCAAGCGGCGCGCGACGCACCGCGTTGCATTCCGGGCTCGGCCATGTGTATGATTATAATTCTTATTTAGCATGTATCGACCGCAATGTTAATCCCGCGAGAAACGGGAATTCACGTTGGATGTCATGAGAGAATTCCCGCCCGCCGATGGGATTCATCGAGAATGCGACCGTTTCTACCGAGAAACGCGTCGTCCGGATTGTACGGTCAGGTTCGACGCAGTATTTCTCGGCGAGAATCGTTCGATTTGAATTGTATGTATTTATTTAGCTCCTAAGACGTGAATGCGAGACGCGTGTACGGATTACTTCAGTGCGTTGGAGTATTTTATTGCCGTGGATCGGCACTAGTTAGTATTAATTAGGCTGCGAGAAAGCGCGCGCCTACGTTCCTCAATACTATTTACTACTTAATGTCATTTTTAATGCCTATTGTTTATTTATTTATTTATTTATATATTTATTTATATATGTGTATTTACTTATTTATTGTTTATTTATTTATTTATTCCACGATTGTGATTCAACTTTGCTTTTGCGGATTGAGTCGTGTATCAAGAAAAAAAAAAAGATAGAAAGATTCTCTCTTTGCCGCTCGCTGAGAACCAGGCACCGACATTCGTGTATTTTTTCTCACACATACATATATACACACACACACACAACATGCATATTCACACATCGGTCACGTCGAATCGTCGTCGGATTAATTTGAATAAAGTGATGTATATGCGATCACGAATGCAATAAAAAGTGTGGTAATCGATTATTCATGCAATTTCTTGTCTTTCACGCTTCCCGCCCATCCCTCTTCCACACCGTACGACTTCATATTATCACTCGAGTGTGTTGACACCGATTACGCGCAATTATACGCTCAAGTGATCCACTTTCGCGGGCACTTTAATCCACAGATCTGCGCCGGCGTGCGATCTCTATCTCAAAATTTGGGCTTCGTCAAATCGCTGGGGATGGATCGTGGCGGGAAGACGAAAGTCGCAACGGCGCAATCGCACGGTAGAATTCTGGATTCGGACGTGAGGCGAGCCGAGCGGATGAGGAAGGAGCGCCGAGTGGAACAGCCTAAATGAGACATCGTCGAGAAATTACATCATCCCAATTAAAGAAAAATTGGACCGCAACTCCCTCTGCAAGGGCCTAGCGGAAGCATATTATTTCGTCGGTAAATACAGGATTCTTCCGTCCGTTCCGTCGCGATAAAACGTGTGTCTCCTCGCATTTCGCGTTCTCGCGCGAACTTTTTCGTCGAAACGACGGGGGAATTTCGCGATGAGACTCGGAAATATCGCTTCGTTCTCGACGTTAAAACTCTTGGAGCACTCAAAAGGACGCATTCGAACGTGAACCGAGGTTCGGTGTTTGGGACTGTAATTGTACGGCTAAATATTTACAGGCCGGAAGATTACTTTTGCAGCATGAGCGTTGCTCTAGCGTCAGCGACAATAATTACATCGCGAAGCTGCCCTCGTTAGGAAAGTCGTTTAGGAGAACAAGAAAATGCGATTGACGCCGGGAATAACGGCGATTTCCGCGGGATTGGCCATTTTCTTTTCCGTCGGTGTGTAATTTTGCGGCGGGAAACGTCGTTCGCTCGCGTGGTGTCCATTTTTCTCCCAAAAGTATCAATACAAAGTGTCGGCCTTTCGGCGCACGTGTGATGATCCATGGATCGTCGTTAAAGAGTCGCCCCCACGCGGCTCATATAAATCTCCAGCGAACGCGGCGACGCGAGCCGACGGACGAGCTGTCGGTATTTTGTACTACTCACGTTGTAGGTGAACGCGAGAACACGCGGAACGCGATTCGCGTGTGATAATTGATAAATTGCGATCGAGCGCGCGTTGCTGCGCGTTGGGATTCGGATATCGGACTCGGATATGCGCGGTCTGCGAAAGGCTGCGACTTTCGGCCGAATTCAGCGCGATTTTCCCCTCCAGGGAGGGAGCGATTATTCGATGTCACGACCACTGATGATGGACTAACGGAGAGCATAAAGACGAGAGTGTAAATAGTAAGTAGTAGTACGCGATATCTCGGGCTTGTGTCGTAATTGAGGCGTAATCGTGCTTGTGAATGAAACATTGCGACCGTCGCGATGATCCGAGGTTAGATTCGGCGGTCAACGTGCGTTTAAACGATGGTCTCTCTCTTTCTCTCTCGCTCGGCAGATACAAAATCGTTTACAAATTCGTGCATGGCCGAAGCTTGCGCGCGTTTCGCGCAACTGCGAAAGTCGCACGGTCGACGCGCTGCCGCTGTGTTTTGCATGAAATCTCGCGAAAACACACCGCCTGTGACGTCAGCGCGATTGTTTTCTCAAACGCGAATCGCCGACGAAATCAAGATAATAACGTGCGCACGTGACCGAACTCATTCCAGTTAAATGACGCGTGCAACAAAATCAATTACGAAATTCGCGCCTATCTTTTTACGCGATCCTTCGCGCGTTCAGCTTGCTGCTCCTTCTCCTCTCGGTTGTATTGAGAGGCTGCTACAGTCGCGTTTATAGCGTCCGAGTCGACATTTCGAAACTAACTTGACGCTCAAGAATTTTTTGTATCGATATTTTCTCCCGATATTCGTGCTCACGTCAGTACTACTTTATTTCGATATATATTCCCTCTTTTTTTGTTTTACTCAGTCGATTTTCAAGATATCATGTATCTTTGTTTCATGTAAATTAGTATAACATGCAACTTACTTCTTACAATAATTTTTAACGTGTGATTTCTCACTTCTAATGTCATCAAATAAGGACAACACGGCGAGAACACAGGACCTTTAAAATATTCTGCTGAGTATTTTTTTGTCCTTAGGACACGTTAATCTGCCGTTAAAAATAAAAGAATGTTTTCCTACAATTATTAATTTTGTTCTCACGGTAAAATAATTTGTAGATTCAGCAAAATAATCCAGCGAATTGCAATTAATATTCTTAACAAATTGTTTTGCTGTTCATATAATAACTGACAGATTTTGTCGCGACAGCATAAGATTTGCTATGTCAGCAAATTATCTTTCTCCGTATACTTCGACAACAATATTGACACATGTTAATTTCTCTCTTGAATCTTTAATTCCACATATTCCACATTTTAACCGCTATCTTAAGTAATTTATTTTGACGCTAAAAAAATAACGAAAACGGTAATTTAAAATATCATTACGATTAAAGTAGGAGTAAATTATTGGAATTAAAGTTGCTTATTTTGTTATTTAAGTTCCTACTGCGTTGTAGAATTCAAGGTTTAACACGTTGACCGCCGAGTTGACTTTTATTGATTATACGGAAGCTCAACCAATCGATCGTTGAAATATTAAAAGTACAATATGTAAATGTAATTGCCATTGAAAAGAGGAAATCGTCGTACGTGATAGAAACACTTGATCGCGTTACTTTATCGTGTAAAAGGTCGGCGTGACGAGAGTCTCCCAACGCCTCGTTTCCGCGATAAAGTTTCGCGATCGAAATGCGAGAAAACCGGAAGCAAGAAGTAAAAATGAGGAGCGTAAGGTTCAGCTTGCGTTCTCGCAACGACGCAAACAGGCCTCGATCGCGCGCGCGCGATTCGGCCAGCAGTGAGTCTGGCGATGAGGCGAAATCATCGGCAGGAGAAAGAACCGAAAACCGTAAGCACGTTCTCGGCGATTGCACGTTGGCGGAATTTCACAACTGCAATTCGGATAAGGAGGTGATAATGCGTGAAGATGCAACGGAAACACTCTTATCCTCGTGTACATGTATCTTTGTACACCGAGATAACCGCACTATATTTAGTACGTTAGTTTCGTTAGCGTGCTTAGTTCGGACGGTACTGCACTCCGCCGAGCAACCTTCTTTCCTTTTTCGCGCGGGCATGTTACGTTACACGCGCGAGGCGAAAATTTATACGTATTTTTAATACATATTTCATATATACATACTTCCCGGCAAGAATTCTCGTCCCCGCTCGTCGCGCGCCCGGATCGAGGCGGCCACGTGGACTTGTCCTTTGATTCGCCCGCCTTCTACTCGCAAGGGAAAAGACGGGGAGAGTAAATCTTGAGGAAGGTGACGTAGGGATGATGCGATGAATTCGGCTGAAAAATCCGCGATCGTTCCGCAGGTTTCGGGGGACAGCTCGTCGACGGAAAGTGGGTAAACGTATCGGCGATCGTGCATCATCGCGTGGGACGTAGGGTGTTCTAACGCAACAAATGGTATGAATGCGTCAGTCAAGAATGATATATCGCGAGGGTGCATTATTCATCGCGAAAGGAACAAGAAAAAAGAGAGAGAGAGGAACTCGTGGCGAGGCGTGAAAAAAAAAGAAAAAAAGAGACGAGCGCGATTACACGCGACTTTGCTCTCCTATCTTGCTGCCTTAGCAACGTTGTTGCAGAGTATCGGCGGACAGTCAGCGACAAATTTTGCTGTGTTACATATAAAATTCTTGCGGCTTATTGCGGCATCGTTGTGAAGAATCCTTCGGGTCCTGAACGGAAAAAATTTGTCTCGTATCGGAAAACGGTTCGTTCCGACCTCTGTCCTTCGTTTGGTTCTTGCGCTCGCACTTTTCGACAAATCGAGCATTAGCGCTTTCACTCGTGTGATTTCACGTATTGCGCGTACGCATTTATAAATACAAACAGATGCACGTATATATGTACAAGTGTATAACTTTGTACCCTGTGACTCATCTATATAAGAGAAATCATGTGGAAAAAGAATGTACATCCATAATATCATCATTGAATCGCCACATCATCGTCTTGCATAATTATGCTACATTGTAACTACTGCATCTAAATATCCAAGTGTATTTTTGTCAATTATTATTTCCTACAAATATATATATATATATATATTTATATATATATATATTATCTGTATTACACCTATTATTTTTATAAATAAATTTCGCCGGCGTCGTTCTTTTCGACGAGGTGAGACCTCTGGAAATCATCTCATCGTGCAAATGTGCGTTATCTGCATCGGCGGGTGGATCGACAAAAAGAGGGGTGCAGAAGCGTCTTGCCTCTGTGGTGGGGGAGGCAATATATCGTCCCCACACATATATATACATATATACATGGTGAGATCGTCGCTCGGGCTGTATAGTTTAAATACAACGAACACGCGAGCAAGTCTCTCAGGATTGTATCGAGATCGTGTGAAACTTGTCGAAAAACCGTTTCAGTTTCGCCTTCGCGAGTTGTCCCTGCACACGTACGAGCATCTTTACCGAGTGACGCGAGAAGAAGAAGAAAACAAAGCAATATCGAGGCGCTCCTGCGCGTACGCAATGGCGCGTCCGTTAATAATGGCGATCTGCGTCCTCGTGGCATTCGCGTTGCCGAGACTTACCTACGGACGTGCTGCGATCGAACAGAGCGGGTAATTATACATTGCGTAGTATACGGTTAAAATATAATAATATACATTGTATTCCGTTAAGACATATGCGCAACTTTCGACTGTCGGAACGACGATCGCGTTGGGAAATCGACGAAAATCGATACTTCGATATCGTTTCCGCTCTTGCTCCAGCTTCTTACGTAAAACTTCTTACGTATTCGCATGTTACGTCAGACATTCGGCAAAATTGGCGATATTATAAAAACATATCTCTCTCTTATCTCGATGAAAACACGCATCATACGGGGGGATACAGCGTCGATTTTCCTGACCGAATGAAAAACAAAAGCTGACATTTTTCGAATCTTGCGATGAGCTCGGCGCGATATACGAACGTCACACATCGTCACACATCGTTCGATGTAACTACGTCTTTCTCTCTCTCTTACGCTTTTCTCTTGCTTTGCGATCAGATCGGCCTCAAATACGCTGCTCGCACATGACTCAAAGCCGAAGGATTTCCAGGACCACGAGCAGGAGAAAGCGATCGTCACGTCGCTCGCAAGCGGAGGCGCATCGATACCCGTCAAATCGTAAGACGAACCGAAAGAAAAAAGAAAAAGAAACCCTCCCAAAGAAGATAACGCGCGATCGCTCGCACGTTTATCTGAAGTAATATCGCGGGCCTCAACTCGACTCGCTCTTTACAGGAGGCAAAAACGACTATCTGACCAGAGAATAGCCGAACTGGAGACGCTAATTACTCTGTCGCTACTGAGCGGGATGCTGTCGGAAGAAAGATACAAGAAACTGGATCTGCTGACAATGTAAGAGAGAGATTCTCACGCTGAGAAAACATATCTCGATAGCGTATTTTCCTCTCCAGATTGTCTCGTCAAGCTGCATTCTCTCGTCTAATTACACCGAAAGAAATCCCTGTCACTAAGATTATAGCCATCTTCGGCCTAAATTAAATCTCTTTCTGATCTTAAGCTAAAACATAATAGCAGTTATCTTCTCTGATATTATAACGACGTTTACTAGAAAGAGAAAAAAGATTCCTTCGATTATAATTCTTTCACTTACGCGATCGCAGATACAAATACCAAAAATTGTCTTCTCAATGTACACTACACAGATAAAAAAAGGAATTGGCTATCCTAATAACTGAAATTTGATCACTAAACTTAGTTTTTAGCTGAAAACTAGATACAGGGACGAAAAATTAGCTGAATTAACTAAATTTCAATTGTGTTGTATTTCTTGTTGTAATTCTTAGCTCTGGGAGCTAATTCTTTTTTTCGCATAACTAACGTGTATAATCGACGTTGTGTTGCAGCGATCGCCGAAGACGCGCCACGACGAGGCTTCTCTTCCCGGGACCGAGCGACATCCCTCATAGTCACCTCGCGAATTAAAACACGATGCAGGGATGTAACTGCGACGCGCGTACATCGCTCGTTAGGTAAGCGCTCGTCGTCATCGTCGTCGTCATGGTTCATCCGGCCTCGTCTCCTCGGTCGCGCAAAAATGTAGTTCGCGCGGCTACGCGCCAAGTATCTTCCTTCCTTCCTCGTGTGCACAAATGCGTCGACAAAAATGTCTGGGACGTCCAAGGACATCATCGAGAAAGAGAGAGAGAAAGAGAGAGAACAGCGTAGCATATCTCCGACTAACTTCGCACCCGCCGTAGGAATTTTTTGCACGAGCTTCGCATCGCTCCGCCGTCGATAAGTACGCAATTGCGTAGGTCGTAAATTTGCGAATGTTCATGTAAATGTACACGGAAAGTGACGTAAGGCGATCGTTATATCTGCGTGATAAGTACTCGAGCGGAGGCTGCCGATTCTCTCGTCCGTCCGTCCGTCCACCCGCTCGCCCGCCGCGCTATCGTCGCCCGGGCGTGTTTCGCAATTTATTTCGATTTAGATCGAGAGACATGATCGGCCCTGACGATTATAGTTTTCTTCTCGTTTCATTAAAGTGCGCAATCCCGCCGCGTCGGGGGGAAAAAATATTTACAAACGTACGTTCCGCGTCACGACGATCGCGTGCCTATACGAGTAGTTCGAGGCGAGAGAGCATGATCGTTATCTCTATCTCTCTCTCTTTCTCTGCCTATCTATCTTTTTTTCTTCTTCCGTATCTCTCTACTCTTTCTTTCTTCCCCGTGTACTTTGAAATTGAAAAATTGCCTCCTCGTGCCGGGGCATCTCGATAGTAATGCGTACCGTGAAACTTAATAAAGTTTTCACGTCGTGCGCAAAATCCGATATATATATATATATATATATATATATATATATATATATTTATCTGCGAATACATGTGTGTGTGTATGTGTGTGTGTGATTAACTGTACTAATCGTTATGCGTTAACGATGTTTAACTTCGTACGCACTTGCTTGCAGCTGACTCAGCCAAGATCGTTTACTAGACCGTGGATCGTCAGCCGGCGTGTGGCTGACGAAAGGATGGATTTTACAACACTGAGGCCGGATCTCGGTGTTGGGAAGGCGAGGACGTGCCTCGTCTTGTCGATCAGAACTATGACCACTTGGAAAACTACGTGAAATCAACGCGAAATGAAAAACATGGGGATAACAATATAAGCAGCAAGACACGGTTGTACTTATCAACTAAGAATCTGCATAGAAACTCACATTTGGATTAGAATAAATCCGTTGTGCGAATGCGATACATCTTGGTCTTAATTAGTGTACTCGAGATAGATTTATCTATTATGTAGAGCCATCGCCACTCGAGCCGCGCTAACGAACGTTCCTCAGTAGCCTTATTTTGTAACTTTTAATAACTCAGGATAACTTTCACCAATTTTGATTAAATTCAATCGACGGTTAACTCCATGGAATTAATCAATCGCATTTATCGGTTTAGCTAATTGGCCAATGCAACTGGTCAATTTCATCGGTTGAACTTAATTAGAGTTGGTGAAAGTCACCTCCAGACGCGGTTTTTCATTTTCCGGTTAACTGTTGGTTTAACTTAAGCCGACGATAATACAAAAATTGTGCTTTTCTATTTATGGTTAATCATTAAACTGACGGTTTTGTAGCGGCCAACTTTTAAAATTTAATTGGAGGTAGAATTAGCCGTAGAAACCAAAATCTAATTGTTCCTAGTTTAGCTTCTATAACTAATTTTCTGAGTATACGCAACGTAATGGTAACGACACTGTCGTTAAGAGAATATTATAGAATCTGCCTACAGCATTCCTCTCAACAACGACAACGGTTTTTCCAATCTTCGCACGATTGTATCATGAAATCTTTATGGAACATTTGACGAACTTGTACTCACGTATACTCACGCCAATTGGGAATTACGACCGGAAGTTCTGCCGAGTAGTATCGTTCTTGCGAGCATCATGTGTGCGCACTCATCGAAGACACCATCGAAACTGAAATTCCAAAGTTACATTTAGTTTGGTATATATTTATTTACCGACGCGCAATAACAACGTGTCTAGCGACAATCGTGAGATACAGGCGACTTTTAACCTTGGGCGGCAGGTGCGTAACGACAACACTCACCCTTTTTTTCGACATCACGCTCCGACCATATATTCGCATTCTCTGAGCGAATTAACCTCTCACAATTATTGTTATTTAACGAGAACCACACGAGAAATATTTATTATCAAACTTTCACACGACGCGCTCGAGACGCGCCAAAACGCCTGCTCGTGTTCTCACTTGAGACGCGATCGTTGAAATTATTTTACTTAGGTCTTAGTAACGAACTTCACGATACTTCTGTAGGTGTAAGGAAACTGTAATTAAAGTGAAGCTACCATAAGCTTGGCGTACTTACAGAACCTGCGAACGGACTCCCAAAACGGAAAAGTTTTGCAAGACGCGCGCTGCACCATTGTAAAGTAGCCGACAAAACTTGCTTAGTCCTGATCTACAATAGATCCGTATTCCGAAGAAATCTTTTAATCGATAAATAAATAACTCTCAAAGTGGCTTAGGTACCACCCGATTGACTGAGAACCCACCTTTTTAAGGCATTTTTATCAATAAAAGAGAGTTCAGAATACAAACCTAGATGTTTCTTAAATCTTAAGAAATTTACTAATCATAGTCGAATATAAGAAGGTACTCCACATAAACATTTGAGAAACGTTTCTCGTCGATTGACCTGCTGAACGGTTTGCTTCTCTAACGATTCGAACGCATTCGTGTGTCCAAAAATATCGGACGAACATTCTGGAAGTCCGAATTTTACAGAGGATTCATACTATGGCCGACACGCGTACGACGTAACACTTTGATACCCAAACAGTAAAACCTAGACCAGTACACGAGACATCCTTAAGACATCTTAAAGTCTTTGGATAGATATCATTAGAAAAATATTCACTCCGAATAATCCAACGGGTGAAAACATGTTTTACGAGCGTTGGGCTTCAAACGGTCTTCAAGCGTTTACATAACACTCGCATATTGATGGGATACTTGCGCTATGTGGGATATAACCGACGACTTTTGTTACCGGGGAACGTGGTGAGAATGCGCTACGTGCGGGGATCGTCCACGACGAAACAGAACTTACGTTCGAGCTGCAGTCGCTGGATTCCACGATGAACCCAGAACGACCACTGTGACCGGTGCATCTTCCATGCCGCCATGATGCTGAAGAATTTCAAACGTCGAGACGTCGAAGTCGCGCATTGCGGAGAGCGATCGATTCGCCGGGCGCTCTCGAGGGTCGACCTCTCTCGCGCGCGATCTCTCGCGAGTAGCGCCGCGAGGCGATATCGCGTACTCGCGTTATCGATCGAACGAACGCGGAGGAGTGGCGCTCGGACGGGCGGGACGAGGCGGCAGTAGCTAACAGCGGCGAGGCAAGGCGCGGCGAGGAGAGACGAGACGAGGCGAATGCTCGCGCGAGGCGAGAGTGGCGCAATGGTAGCTGTTGCTAGTATTACTGGTGTTCGTTGCGGCGGATCGGGCAAAAATTACGAATAAAGGGCGTGTAAGATGCACCAGTGCCGGGGCGCTCGGACTCTCGGCACGGCCTCGGACACGGAGACGCTGCCAGGGATGACGAGCGTGGCGAGGTGCGCGAGGCGCAGCGCGAAGGTACTCTCAAGAGTGGCTGCTTAGCTGCCGTCGTCGTCGCGTAGTAGTCGTCGTATCGTGCATCGGGCTGCCAATGTTAGACGGGGATGCCCGCGCTCTGAGAAACAGACGAGCCTGTCAACCTGCTGTGGCTCCTGACGATGCTATTTGCTAGTGACACGAACTCTCCGTGGCGCGTCTTCTAGGTAGTGCTGTAGAGCGTGTGCGTGTGCGTGTGTGGTACTCGAGACCACGGTGAAATGTTCGCCTCGCCGGCGTCGGTGGTGGGCGGCGAGCCATCGGGCTACGACTTTCAGAAAGAGGAGAATGCTGCCAAGTGGAAGGGAGTGTTTGTCAACTCCCTGCGCAAGGTAAATCTCCCTATCGCTCGATTCTTCTCGCCGCTTTATCTCTCCGCTCCTACTCGCCAGCTCTCTCGCTCTCTCTCGCTCACTCTCACTCCCTCTCTCGCTCTTCTCTCGCCGTCTTTCTCTCTCTCTCTCTCTCTCTCTCCCTCTCCCCTTTTCTTTCCCCTCTGCCCACCCTCCCTGTTTTTCCCTTTCTTCTATTTCGCTCTCGTGTCCTCTACTATCCCGTTCTATCCCCTCCACCTCACCCCCGCCTCTCTCTCTCTCTCTCTCTCTCTCTGTCTGTTCCTCACTTTTTGTTCGCTCGAACGCTCGATCATTTTTCGTCCCAGCGATCTTACGTCGACGCTGGATCGATCAACGACACCGACCGACGACGTCATCGTCTGGCGCGCGCGACGCGCCATATGATTTTTCAAATGCCGCTCTGTCAATATTTGGCGGACACGGGTCCTTTAATCGCTCCTCCCTCGTGCCTCTGCTCAAGCTGAACTTGTTCCGAATTATCGACTCGTGTTCAGAGAACTCGCGTCAGTCGGAAGGTGTTGCATCTTGCCTAACATTTTGGATATTATGAATCATCATGATAATGTACTTTGATATTCGCACATGTGGCCAAAGGATGTGATCGATTTTTATAGGTACTAGAGCAAGTACATCCTAGTCTTCAAGCTCGACAAGATGCCTTAGACTACGTGGAGAGCTTAATCTTAAGGATGCTCGGCATGCTTTGCGGACACCCACCTCCTCACACCCCTCAAGATGTAGAAGAAAGAGTGAGACGCACGTTTCCTACTCCTATTGACAGATGGGCGCTTCGCGATGCCAAAGATGCACTGGAAAAAGGGAAGAAGAAGTCACCGTTAGTTCTACCAGTTGACAAGATTCATCAGTTATTACAAAAAGTACATACATTGACAAGTTTCGATAGACATCAGCGTTTAAGTAGCTGGCAGATCTGTGATCTTGCGAAGCTGTATGATGACGATGTTGCTTTTTCTTTCAACAGGAAGTATTACAGCACAAAATCGATTCGCAAGTTAGTCTATTTGTAGTCGGAGTTTTGGAATATATTTCTGCAGATATTCTCAAGGTTGGTATCATCCTTGCGCGTCTCCAACTGTTGAAGCCGCCCGACATCGGCACGCCCGTTACCTCACCGTCTCTGCGATTCGTTTGCGAAATATTTAAGGGTGTTCTCTTTTCAGCTAGCTGGAAATTATGTGAAGAATATTCGCCATGTCGAGATTTCGTGCGAGGACATACGGGTCGCGATGTACGCAGATATGGTAAGGCGATAGTTCGCGGAAATTTAGAGCCTGTGTTCGATTTCTGTATTGCACCGACGATCAACCGACGTACATACACTCTACATTCATGTTCTACCACTTACATTCTGAGACTGATTTGAGCGGATTCCCGGACCGACCGTTTCATACTCGAATCATTGATTCGAGTCCCGGTAGAATGGCTGAATGCTAATGAAATAACTATTCAGTCGTGCACTGACGAAACAGCCTCGTGTCACATATTGTGATACCTCAGATCAGTCTTACTTGTAAACTACCTTCAGATATAATAATACATGTACGATTGTACGAAGCTTGTGTAGGATACGATTAACACGAGTGGTATTACATCGCGTTAGACAGACAGTATACACTTTAGTAGGGAGATATACGTTACCTTGCTAGTAATAGTTTGCTTATTACGTATCTATTATAGATCCAAGTTACATCCTTCGTTCTATATTGTTTGTGATTCGTGTGAAAGATTCTATACTGCCGTTCCCCCGGTCTTGATATTAGTTTAACGGGCGGTGGAGATCGCGAAATCCTTCACAATCCGTAATTTCAAGCATCTACTACTAGCAACAGGTGCAATAATGAATTTCGGAATCGGCTACACACTAGGCTAGTCACAGGCTAATTGTGGCTGCATATATTCTTGTGCTTGGTTACATGCTTACCACTAATATATAACAACTCTAACCATGTTCATTCTTCGCTCATGCTGTTCTAGGTGGTACGTACTCGTGTGATTGCACTGAAACAAAATTTGTCACTATGTTTTACGATATCTTTGTATCTCTCGTCTCTGAGAAAAGAAAAAAAAAGAAACAAATTGCATCTGGTTCTGTGTCTCTTTTTTTTATCTCTCTGAATTGCTTCTCACTGAAAGTCACTCTGTACCAATTACGTTGAAACTTACTGAGAACGTTTTTTTTTTTCTAAAATATGTGATACATTGTGGTTTTATCGTATTGTTAGGAGATTAATCGGTATTGATGTAACATTGCTTACACGAGCAAAACACATCTAATTACGCCACAGAATATCTAAGCTAAGTTAAGAAAGGACATGTTTTCGAGAGTAATGATTGCAAGAAGACACAAGGTATGCCCAACAGCATATGGAGTGTTTTAAATTATTTCATTCTTCCTCTTGTGTCCTAATTTCTTAACTATTGCACACGGTAGATCCGACTGTGAAATGTGTGTCTGTTTAATCACTGTACACGGAGTTAACAGATTGTGTCCGAGGATAGAGCTGGTCTTACGAAGTCTGAATATAAAAGTACCAGATATAAATGTTGTAGCTCCTGTTCTCGCAAAAATATCACTTCCCCAGAAACATCATTTGCCGCTTCTCTGACAAGTCGACAATGCCTGTTAACATGTTTTTTTTTGCTGTTCGAAGAATGCTTGTATTACATTTAATTGCAAGTACACGGGATGCCCCGTAAAAAAAAGTATAGCTTGTCACATATATTCACTCTTAAATTCAATTGATGCAATATAAGTACCATTGTTATTATTATTATTATTACCATCATTATTATTACTACCGTGTCTGTGTTATTCAATCGCATACTACAGCATGCGTTCAATAATTCGGCAATAGTATCGCGCAAGATAGAGAGTCGCCTTAACTTAAGATAGAGAGGGAATTAAACAGTTATTTCTCCCTAGCCTTAATCTCGTGTTTATTGCACGCTGTTGTATTCAATAAGAGATTGCATGGCCGACGCTAATTATCAACCGTTATATCTGTTGTTCTCTTCTGGTCTCCTCTCTTCGTTATAAATGTTGAAGAGCCACGAGAGTCTCGGGGACGACGATCTGTAACACGATGCGCAATTTTTGCAACAGGTACTGATGGATATGTTCTATCAAGACGATTGCACGGAGGGTCCGCAAAGTAGCCTGGGCGCGGTCGTTTCGCAGACTTACGAGGAATCCGTTCGGGATCTCATTCACGATGAACGGCATTACATTCGTGACCTGCACATGATCATCAAGGTAAACGCATCGGCGCACGACGTCGGAGAACGTCGGGAGAACGTCGCAGTCTCATCGAGAGAGAGAGAAAGAAAGAGAGAGAGGGAGAGAGAGACGAGATTAAAAACGAGGATTAACTTTCATCCCTAGGTATTTCGCGAGGAAATCGCGAAATTAGCGAAATTACCGCAAGATAAGAGCGAACTCGAGACACTCTTCAGTAATATTATAGATATTTATGAAGTCACTGTGACATTACTCGGCAGTTTAGAAGATATAATGGAAATTACGGAAGAGCAGCAAACGCCCACAGTTGGCTCGTGCTTCGAGGAATTAGCGGAGGCAGCGGAATTCGATGTTTATATAAAGTATGTATCGCAACGTACGGATAAGTATGTACGTACTTATGTGTTGTGTATTATTTATGCGTGTAAGAAGAAACATTCTTATTGATCACACCGCATTGCTAGATACGCGAGAGACATTAATAGCCCCGCTAGTCGGGAAGTTTTAACGAATTTGTTGTCACGACCAGAAGCTAATACAGCCCTACGTGCGGCAGGCCATGGTTTCAAAGAAGCCGTTAAATATTATTTACCGAAACTTCTGTTGCAACCAGTGTGGCATTGCTTCCTGTATTTCGATTATATCCAGGTACCGTATCACTTCCCGTTGCGTGTCCACATTTTCGGCCTCCCGTGTGCTCTCCTCTCACCCAGCGTCTCTTCTCGATCGCAGGTATTGCACCAGCGCACGCCTAACACAGAGGACGGCGAGACTCTGGAACAAGTGCAGGGTTTGCTCAGACCGCTGCAAATGGAATTATTGCAATCCGTTGCGAGTCTACCGAAAAAGGACACGGGCTTGCGAATGCAGAGCAGAGCGAGGAGACAGACGGCGCTAGAGAAGACTAGCGAGTTACAAAAAACTGTGGACGGCTGGGATCAGAGGGACGTCGGGCAGTGTTGTAATGAGTTCATTCGAGGTAACGAAGTGACATCGCCTCCTCGTTGTCTTGAGTTCTCGACGCACGTGTGGTGCACGTGCGTTCCCGGGGTCTCGTACCTGCTGCTCTCGCCACTTTCCCTCGGAATTCGATGCAGCGCGGGTGGCTCTTTTTACCGCCCGCTCTTAGGGCGGTATTCGTAGTAGTCAAATCTTGTATTGAAGGTCTTAAGGTCTTTTATCTTCGGATGATGAAGTCAAGACTGTACGTCTTGTTTCATTGGCCACGGAGCACTTGAAAGTAAATTCAAGACGATATATATAAGACTACTGTAAATACATACTGGCTTTAGTGTTCGCACAATCGTCTTCCCTTTTTTCTGTGTTCTTCGGGATTTTCCAGCGGATTGAACTGGGCGACTTCTGACAAATTTTCTCAATTTTCATGAGTGGTCCTTCGGTCATCACAGCAAAATTATGTCGGCTTCACTTTTATCCGACGACTTTCCTCGATGCATTTTTCAAACTTCAGAAAAACTCCGATATTTCCCCTACGTCAAGATTCTCTGTTTTTGCTTCTGATAAAACTCGATAACCAAAAGGCAATCCGAGAAATCTTTTCAATATGGTGACACTCGATGTGTTCTCGATCGCTGCATGATCAGTTGACAGTCTCAGGACTGTCAACTTCACAAGATCTGTGAGATCTGTTTCTTCATTTTTTCGAAAAATTCGTAGTGAAACTAATCTTAACAAAAGAGTAAACAACCAGTAAAAGAGAGGAGAAGGAGAAAGAAACTGGCGGTAGGAACTTGTCGGATGTTGGGCGCGCGATAATTTTAATCTTTAAATCTCGAAAAGTCTCTTGTTAGGGTCGACGAGAGCGGGAGAGGGCAAGAAAATAGGCGGTACTCCTAGAAATTCCGAGCGTTGCTCAATAAAGACAGGCAATAGATAGTGTGCGAAATATATATATTTTCTTTCGTATGTATTGAAAACTAAGTGACGAGCATCAAGTGTGTCGTCTCTTCCCGGACTGTATTGTTCGTAAATTTCACACAGAGGATACCTTGGGAAAAGTAGCTAGCAACGGGCGAAGGGTAACCGAGAGGAAAGCCCTGTTATTCGACGGCTTGCTGGTACTGTGTAAACAAAGCGGTAGCAAAAGAGTCAGCGTCACCGTTTCCGCGGTCGGGGTGGGACACCCGACGCATCAGGGAGAATTGCGACTGAAGGAACGGTTTTTCATCAGAAAGGTCGACATTATCGACAGGGAGGACACCGAAGGTAAGCGACTTCCGCGTCGAGAATCCGCCGTCGGCCGATGCCTGGTCCTGTAAACTCGTAATCGGGGAAAAAATGTTTCCGCAGAGTTAAAATATGCCTTTGAAATCGCACCGAGGGACCACCCGAGTGTTATTCTCGTCGCAAAGTCCGTCGAAGATAAGAACAATTGGATGGCGGACTTGGTGATGTTAAATACGAAAAGTATGTTGGAGAGAACGTTGGACAGTATCCTCTCGGACGAGGAGAGGAAGCATCCGTTAAGATTACCTCCTGTTCATCTGTATAAATTCGCCGAACAGGACAGCCCTGAGAATATCGTCCTGGAGGCCAGGGAGAATGGCGGCGTTCCTCTGATCAAAGGGGCGACTTTAATTAAATTAGTCGAAAGATTAACTTACCATATTTACGCCGATCCTGCGTTCGTGAGGACATTCCTCACCACTTACAGGTGATCAGCCGTGCTGCACTCTGCTGCGAAACGACGTTCTCTTCTTTCTTTATTTACTTTCTTTTCTTATTGTCTACACACGCGGCGTATCACGAGCTAGTACTCACCGGCTGCTTGCTTCGCAGGAGTTTCTGTTCGCCCCAGGAATTATTTTCGTTGCTTATGGAGAGATTTGATATCCCTGATCCCTCGTTGGTGTACGGTGACGAGGAGAAACCTACCGGTTGCAAGACGACAGCCAGGGAGGACTGGAAGAGGTATAGGAAAGAATTTTGCCAGCCGGTGCAGTTCCGGATCCTGAACGTTCTGAGGCACTGGGTGAGCAGCACGCGACAACCGCGCTTCTCCGTTGCGCGCCGATTTCGCGACGATTCCGAAAGTTCTCTTCTATAAGTTTTATTCCTCATTAGGTGGATCATCATTTTTACGATTTCGAGCGTGACAGGAATCTTCTGGAAAGATTACAATCCTTTTTAGATACAGTAAGTGGTAAGCCTATGCGGAAGTGGGTTGACTCGGTGGTAAAAATTGTACAGAGAAAGAGCGAGTCGTCGGAACGACTTATCACATTTAGCTTCGAGCGATCTCCGCCGGCGATCGAGTGGCATCTTAAAGTCCCCGAGGAAGACTGGAGTATACTTACGGTATTGTGCTTAACTAACGCCCTCATTCTGAGGCATTTTGAGGAGACCGACGACGGTCGCCACTGAATCTCACCGAAATTACTCACCGATTGCAGTTACACCCTATCGAATTAGCGAGACAGCTGACGCTCTTGGAGTTCGAACTGTACAGAACGGTGAAGCCTTCCGAATTAGTCGGCTCCGTTTGGACGAAGAAGGACAAGGAGAAGACGTCGCCGAATTTGCTGAAAATGATCAAGCATACGACAAATGTAAATTTCCGTCTAACGAGTCATCGTTAATTTACACATATATACGCATATATAAATACGTTGCGGTCGATACGCACCTAGTTTCGCATTACTAAGTATCGTTGATTTCCATGGCGCTCCGATAGTTCACGAGGTGGCTAGAAAAGACCATAGTGGAGGCTGACAATCTCGAAGAGAGAGTAGCCATCGTGTCACGTGCAATTGAAATAATGATGGTGCTGCAAGATCTCAACAACTTCAACGGTGTTCTGGCGATCGTCAGCGCTATGGGATCAGCTTCGGTGTTTAGGCTAAGGTTTACCTTCCAAGTACGTTCCATTCACACACGTATACTCCGCAAAGTTCCCTGAGAGCCACTCTTCTCTCTATTACATTTGTATTCCCGCAGCAAATACCGGCACGGCTGGAAAAAGCGCTGGAAGAGGCGCGAGAGCTTAACAGCGATCATTTTCGGAAGTATCAGGAGAAATTGAGGTCCATTAATCCGCCTTGCGTACCATTCTTCGGTGAGTATCGCGAGGCATCGTCTCGCGAGGATCTGTCGAATGTCCCATTGACACTTGGTTCCCCTTCTTCTTCTTAGGTATGTACTTGACTAATATCCTGCACATCGAGGAGGGGAATCCCGACTACCTACCGGGAAGTCCAGAGCTTATCAATTTCAGCAAACGGCGGAAAGTGGCCGAGATAACCGGTGAAATTCAGCAGTACCAGAATCAACCGTACTGTCTCTCGGTGGAGCAGAGAATCAGACACTTCATCGAGAATCTGTACCCCTTCGACCCCAACATGAAAGACGAGGATATAAACAATTATCTGTACAATAAGAGTTTAGAAATAGAGCCAAGGGCGTGCAAGCAACCTCCGCGATTCGTAAGCGTCTTCACCTCAAGAGGCTTCCGTTTCCTCGTCGCAGCCATTTTCATTGATGACGTCAGAAGCGAGAAAATTCTTGTAGGAATTCAGGACCTGTACACGTTGAAATCAAAGGGGAAATCAAAGGACTTAAAATGATACTTGCGATTGACCGGGTGTATCCTTTTCAAGTGTTGCGAAAACTTTCCTTTTACTTGAACGATCGATAAGTAAGGTAATAATCGTGAAGGTAACGCGACAAAATCATGAGGAGAGACAGACTGAAAAAGAAGATTGCGTGTCCTGTTAATTCCGTTGTTATTTATCGAACGTTCGAGAGGAAAGCTTTCGGGATATTTTCACAATCCTGCGCCTTCCAGCGCTATTGATATCTCCCGTTAATTCGACTCATGTTACAAGAATCCTGAGTATGCGTTTTTTCGCTTCTGAAGCCGTCAAACAAGACGACTATGGCGAAAGAGCGGGAAACTTAACGCCCGCTCGATACGAGACCGATGCGAGCTATTGTCCGATTACACTTGTTTCGTTCTTCCACCGCAGCCGCGCAAATGGCCGGACCTGAACTTGAAAACGCCAGGTATCAAAGTCAGAAGTCTGAGCGGAAGGTTGCCGGCTCCGTTACAAGCGATGGCGTCCAGCGTAAGGTTACACGATCCTCCAACGGAGACGCCCGCTCCTCCCGAATTACCGGAAACATCGCCGCACGCGACGCAAGTCTCAGCCTCGCTCACCGGGGACCACAGCGTTTCCGCGTCTGTCTCAGGTACATCTCGGCACACAATAAGTGCGTTGTTTCCACATGTGTTCGTTTCAATTCGCCATGGATGAGCGAGCAAGTACAATTCCGGTGTCCGGGTGTTCAGGATCCGGGCTACCTCCGGGATCACCGGGTCCACCCAGCATATTGGCGCTCTCGATCGCTTCGCCGAGCAGCAGCCCTCAATTGGGCTCTCCCAAGCACTTCTCCGATTGCTGCACGATAGGCAACGTGGGTGTTCTAGCGTCACCGGGCGGGAGTCCCAGCGCGATGCCGACGTCGCCGAGCAACATACCGCCTAGCCAACCGCCACCGCCACTACCACCTAGGATACCTCATAGAAGACGGGAGAGTTCAATTAGCGAATCGCCGCAACAGGTAAGATTCGAAAAAAAGGTGTACATTCAACGACACAGGCTACGTTCGGGAAATACAATCGTTGAATGGCCGCTTATTGGAATAGATTCTTTTAGGTTTATCATTGATTTAAAGGAAGAACTTGATCAAAGACAATCACGATAATCCGTCAATGGTTGCACCACCGTTGTGTTTTCTAAACGTACTCATATACTAAGAGCATATATAGACCGAGGGCATTCTTTCTGCAGAGTGAAGTCGGAAATTGGCAAAGTTTAAGGCTGAGTGAAAAGTTGCCTTATTTCAAACAACTTGTTGCATCATGTTTCGCATATTTGACTCTTGACAGTTACTCTAAGCTAGAGCGAGAAAGTAGCTGAAACAAAGCAACTTCTCCCTCCGCCTTAGGATGACTCAAACTCGGATTAAACTAATCGGTGAATTATAGTCAGAATTACCAACCCCAATTTCCAGTTTTGCAACTGGTTGTTCAACAATAATCGAAAGATTAAGAATTCCTATCTGTGTTAGCGAGATAGAGAAGGTAACACTTGACTGACAGCGATTTTAAATCGTCAATCGGCTTAATCGGAGTTTGGTAAAAGCCACTCTTCAACTGCCAACTCTCGGTTTCACTCGTTGCTGTAACAAAGATATGCCAATGCTTGGCCCATGTATTGGTCGTGTCGTTGAACACATCCAGTACGACGGAGTTTCCAAGGTTGATTCCATCGAGATCGTGAGGAACACGGTCGTTCGACGGATACATTGATTCGGATTCGCTGTGATTTGGACACGCACGCAGGCGAGACAAGCGCTGAATCCGCCGGTTCTGCCTCCGCGAGACATCTCCCCGCCGCCGTTACCACCGCGACTTCAGCCGTTACCGCCGCGATTTCAGCCGTCGTCGCTGAGCTCGTGCAACTCGACGTTACTGGCGCGCCGCAATTCCACGTTGGAAAGCACGGGCTGCACCGTCGTCCACCCGCGCAGACACATGTCTTTCAATGGCCCTAGCCCCACGAAGCTTCAGCCGACGCAGCCTAACGGTAAGCGAGGCCAGGGATGATATTCACAGGGTGCGTTCCGATATATGCTGACGGTGCTGCTGTTGAAATCAACATATCACAATCATTCCGAAATTGCTGATAGATTGCGCAGAGACAGCACGGAAAATTGTGGAACGCATTTGCATTTATTATGCGGACGACGTTGGGGATATAATCTATTCAAAATATCGGGTGTGCAAAAGTGAATCTGGAATTGGTGGCCAATTCAATCGATGAATGGGCACCTTAAGACTCACCGGTGTCGCGTGTTTTTTTTTTTTTTTTTTTTTTTTTTTTTTTTTAAATGATGTTGCTTTCACTTTGCAGGATCAGTGACACCGAGGTTACCGCCCAAGCCTTTACCGGGGCGTCCGTCAACCACCATGTTCAATTTCAACGCCCCACCCGGACCTAGTTAAGTGTTACCTCCCTGGCGGTTCTCTTCTCCCTTTCTTTTCCTTCTTCTTCTTTTTTGTTTTTTATCTTGTTGACAAAGAATAGATCAGTCGAAGTGCTTAGTCCACGCGGCGAGTCGAGTTTGAATCATCCCTCGCCGCACGGATTCGTAGGAGGAGCGTGTGTGTCCCGATAGATCGCATCGATGGATCCCCAGATGTAGACGTATTGATGTATATTTATAGCGGCATTTTGATAATAAACGATAAACGACGGTTTGCAAAGAAACAGCCGTCGTGCATCAAAATTGGTGGCGTCGTCCGCTCGCGCACGGCGGGGGACGGTCGTCACTTCACTGGCGCGTTAAAATATCGAGGATGATATTGGGCGCGATGTTGTTGGCGCTTTGTCGAGCGATCCATTCGATACATTGGCCGCGGTCCAGAGACACACAACGGTTGCGTGAGCGCTCAGTGTCATTGGAATGTTCTTTTAAGTCTACCGTGGATCTGAAAGAACGCCTCAATCAAAGGCGATGATCCACCCAAACGGAGCCGCACAACCGTTGTGTGCCTCCAGACGCTGCTATTTTTTTAAGGGATATACTTGATCGTTCACTGTTTGTGGCTAGCGGTAGTCTGTGTCCATTGTTTTATGATCCTATGGACTGGCGACAGTTTCAGTTACCTGAATGGCTTCCTTCCTTCTCCTCCTTAAAATCCCTATCTCTCCCTCAAACACAACTGTGATATAGTTTGAACATGAAAATATGTTAATGTAACTAGACACTTAGATTTAAAAGAAAAAAAAAAAAAGTGACAGAGACGTAAAGAAAGTGATGTACCGTGAAGGAATGGAGTATGCATTAAGAGGAATCAATACCAAGAACGGAATATAAATAATAAAGATTTACATATAGAGAGTAAATATACATGTATATTATTATAAATATATTCTATAATAGCGATTGTAATAATATCAAGGAAAAGAAATATGATATGTAAAATAAAAAAATATATTGTGTAGCATCTGTAGTAAGTTTTTCTCGGCGCCTTGCGTCCGTGTTTCATCGGATTGCGTTCGAAAATTTCGTCCTAATGTAATTCATAATAAATTTCACCGAAAAGGAGCGGGGGATATATTATAGTACATCATTCCATGCGTCCGGGTTCACGAACGGTATAGTGTAAGATCTACCGAACTATAGTAAGACTTGAACGTGCGCAACCTATGAAATCCTATGGTTCGGAAGTAAGACGAGAGAGGAGGTATAAAAATTTGCCGTCCTTAGATCTATTCTTTTTCGAAGAACTTCTAAAGCAGGTGTATACCGGTGCAGCAAGTTAAAATGAAACAAATAAAAAAAGTAGGTTTCACTGCAACTTATTGCACCAGTATATGCCAGTACAGGAAATCCTTGGGAAAAGACCGGTCCTCTTGTTGCACACGCTTCTTGCGCATGCTCAGTTCCATTTGCTTCCTTTTGATACCATCCAGTTTAAAAAGTGAATGAGCAATTTGTACGGTCACTCACTACGGGCACAGTTATATTAATATTATAATATTATATATATATTAATATTTTAATATTAATTAAAAATCATGTAGTACGTTACAAAAATCTCTTGCAAACATGAAATTCCTCTCTTAACAATTACATTGAATACATTTTACATTAGCATATTTCAGTTATTGATCATGGGACCGAGTCAACTTCTTGAGGAGACTGTACGAACGACAAAGATGGCATTAGAATATGACTGTCTCTCTCGCCTCGCTCGCGCACAATCCAGTATTACTGTGGTTCAGTGGTACGATCTAAGATTAGACAATCGTCACTTTCCATTTCCTCCGACAAGAACCCATACAATATACATGTCTAAAAGACGTCTCAGAGACATCTCATTGTTTCGAAAGCATCTTAATAATATTTTAGGATGTCTCAATGTTCTTTGGGAATACGTCTGTATTTAATAAACGTTACTTCCTCCATGAATTTTACGGTTACTTTCGAAGTTACGTAGTTAGAAAGACAGGCTGTGGCACTCAATACGCATGTGTGTTGCGTCCAGAGTGATTATTAACCCCTGAAAAGTCCGGTGTGACTGGAGTGACGCTTTATAGACATTCCAATTAGTTCTCAGACGAATCAATGAGCAACGCACTAGAGTTCTCAAATAGCGATTCGAGTAATAATATACACGAAGGTGACGTTCTCGAGCGCAACTCTGCGCGCGAGAAATTCCGCAATGAACGAAGGTGATTCTATGAACGCGCGCGCGCGAATTTTCACTCAACAAACAAATTCATACAGATTTCGCAAATCGCTTGTCCCCCCCCCCCCTCGCTCTTTTTTCTTTTTCTTTTTCTCCTCAAAATTTCACGAGGAGTAAGATACTCGTCACACGGCGTTTGGTCTTTATACTGTCATGATTATCTTCGCGTAACGAGCTTTGTGGACGGGAAAAGAATGCACATGGGTGCGTTCAAGCAAACACAAAGGGTTCTACAACCGTTGAGTGATTATCGACTTTGAGGTATTCTTTTAGAGCCATATAAAGGAATATATTCATGAGCGCTTACTCAACCAAGTAACAATTAACTATGATAGATGTATACTTTTGAATCTGCAATCAGTCTTTCAGAAGATCGATCACTCAACTGTTGTGTTCGTTGAACACAGCCCACGACTGCGTTCGGAAAATATAACGGTTGTACAATCGTTGAATAACAATTATATACAATTGATATATACTTTTAGATATCCGTCAATTACATCCATCTCGTCGATATCATTAGAACATTCCTTTGGATTTACTGTAGATCTAAAAGAATATTGCGATCAAAGGCCGTATCGAAGGCCACATTGAACAGAACGTTTAATTTACCACCGTTGCGAGTATTCTTTTCCTTCTCTAGATCTAAAAGAATAATTCCAATTTCAGTTCGGAAAACTTCCAACGATTGCAAGATAGACATTCTACTGAACAGTTATTCAACGGTTGGGCAACCGTTGCGTTCGCTGAACGCACCCCATGACAATGGTATAAGCGATTATTACATGACTTCCCACACTGTGGAGCTATCGCTGCGCTTGCTATGTCTAATGCCGACGTCAACGTGAGCGTCCAGACCGTCACCACTCAATTTGCTAAATCGCCTGGTCCAGCTGCCACGACGTGCGCCGGCACCGGTTCTACCGATGGTCCCGGCCTCCCTCAGGACCGAGAGCAAATCGTCCTCGTCCTCCTTGCCCTTGATTCCCTTCTCGTACTTCGCCTCTTGAGCGAGCAGTCGTTCGCGTTGCAGCTGAGTCGACAGAGAATGCGGTACGGCCGGTATCACGTAGCTCATGATCCCGGTAAGTGCAAAAACCTGGGCGTTTCGAAGAGAAAGAAAAATGATTCCTCTCGATCGAAAGATTCAATACATTGCCAGCCATGCTGATTGTGTTTTACCGGATTTTGGAAATCATACATTTCGTAAACAGCACGCAATGACATGTCTTGCATTTACATTTACAAACCAAGGAGAGATAAAACGGGTCTTTAATCGCGGCTGTTGTAGCAATGTGATATTTTTAATTTTGCGGGAGAATATTATATGTTAAACATTTATATCTCTCCACAAAGTTAAAAATACAACGTCGCTACAGCCGCCTTTTAAAGGCCCGTTCTATCTTTCCTTGCTTTATAGCGCATCTTGATCTGAATTTTTACAATTTTTGCAATATAATACAATAAAATCTAAAAATGAAAATAATAATTTTTCTCCAGAATCATCAAAAGTTTCGACCGATCGACGATCATCGAGAAAAGAGTAAATCTATCCGATTGGTTGGCAATCTGTTTAAAATAGACGGTTGGATCTCCGAGTAACGGACGTATAAACGAACGTTACTTGAGATCCAAACTGAAAGGAATCGGCGACTTACAACGTGCTCGAAGACAACAACGAACGCTAAACGCGCGGCGAAAACGTGCCAGTACTGCGGGCTGAGCCCGTAGGGATCCTCCGGATGGTCAGGTTTGTTCCTGTAACCCCGGTATTGACACATCTCCGGATGCTTGTCGTCCGCTTCGCTTTTCATATCGTCGCTATAATCGGAAGTATTGAAATCTGACAGAGAACTATCGATGTAACCCGTTAAATCCTCCGTAGTCGAATAAACGAATGCGTACACGCTCCGCGGGATGAAGTCGGACGTGTACGCGATAACAAAAGCCTGAAAAGAGATTCAGGGGTAATCAGTGAGTCTCGAGATGGTGTTTTGATTAGCGACGAGCTCGACACGCATCATCGGATTACATTCGGAGCAATTCCGATCTAATCTTCCTTATTGATTGGATTATTTGAGACGTATTTTCAAGAACACAGTAGACAGCCCCGAGTAGAAGAGAAGCGCCAACAGGCTCACGTGATCAGCCACATTAATTAACTGGCAAGATGCCTGCTGGTATGGACACTGTGGTGCTTATTATTACTATTACGGACGAATTCGTGTGATTAACGATCATTGGCTCTGATATTTCTTCTTCTTCTTACGTTAGGTCTTAAGGCCTGTATTTCCTCTCACTCGTATGCTTGTGGTGCGCATGCGTTGATATTTATACTCCAGAGACATAACAATCGACATATAACTTATTGTCATCTTCGAGATACGGATATGAACGCCAATGATCGCTAATTTCACAAATTTGTCCGCAACAGCAATAACAATGGTCGACGCATTCCGTATCACAAATTGTGTTCTTTAGATCCAGGATACAATTTTTGTGCGTTGATCAGTGTGATACGCGCCAGTGAGTGTCCACACGAGTAGGAATCGTGCCAGCCGATCACAGAGTAGCTGATCACGTGACCCCCTCTGGCGCTCCTCCGCTATTCAGGGCTGTCGAAGACATAGAGAGATTCGAATTCGAACGCCCATCGTCACTTGGCGCGTCTCGATGAGCGTCTCGAGGAGCTTGCGTACGTACGTTTGACACTACCGCTACATAAGTAACACCCCTAAGAATACCGAACCAAGCGCCGATATCCTCCACTCGCTCTGCCAACGGCCTGCGGGCCTCCTTCACCATTTTATACGCGTCCAGCCTGATCTCCGCGATGTTATTCAGTAAAGCGAAGAGAGGCGCTAATGGGAATGCCGCCACGAACAACGTGACGAATCCATACTGCAGAACTGTAGCGAGGTACGCGCGTGAGTACACTCGCAGAAAGGATGAGCCCGGTGAGAGCCGATACGAGGAGAATCGCGGTTACTCACTCATCTCCAGGTACTCGTCGAACAGGGCCAACCTGCCCGGGTCTTGCAGCTGGTAGTCCTTCTCCCAGCAGGTGTACTTCCGGTCGTGATTCCGCGTCGCCGCTATCTGCGTTCTCTTGCGCCACCAGTTCCACAGTTTCGGCGAGAGGATCTCGACGAAATTGTTGAAGCACTGCTTACCGACCATTATGATCGCGAGCTGAATGCAGACCTCCGAGAGACAACCGGCCGGGTCGCACACGTCCGTCTTGATGCGGTAGAACTCCGAAGTCCTCGCGTCCGCGTCGCCCGGGTGAACGAAGAATCTCCCCTGGAAGTTGACAGGCGAGTTAACGTTTCGTTTCAAGGAGCTCGTTTAAGGACCAGGAGCTTTGACGTCCGGTACCGTTTGCCGGTTACCTTGAAGAAGGCGATATAAATCAAGGACGAATAGAAGTTGACGAATTCGAACAAGAAGATCTTGAACGTGAAGCTTGCTTCGTACTCCGTCTGCGTCCTTGGATTCTCCATGTTGACCATCCACCGCGCCATCCGATGATACACCCGCGTGAGTATCATTATTATCACCAAGTTGATGAGAGCGGCGGTCATGGAAGTGAATATCTTCGCGTGTCTCTTCAGGAAAGGACCACCGCCGCCATAGAACACGGCGACCAGCGAGATGCGGTATATAATGGTTCCCAGAACAGCGGCGAGGACCACGCATATCTGCGAACGAATTAGCGATCGCGAGTAGTCGTCACGTGTCCTGCTTTACGTAGCGATAAAATGTACTTTCAGTATTTCGGTAATCGATTGAGCTTCCGCACAATCAATGAAAGACACGATCCGGCAACCCGTGTCGCTCGTTACCATGAAGAACACTATGGAGCCAGTAGCGAGATATCGTATAGCCTTGGACCATGTGGGCAGATACGGCTCTCTCTCCCTCGTCACGGGATTGATCCGGAAGGTCTTCACGGACGTCTCGAACTCGGGCCTGGGCTCTTCGTCGTAATCGGCGTTCTGAAGATCCCATTCCCAGACGATCACGGCCTGCCGCCGCTTCCAGAGCTCGAGAAACGTCGTGGCTGTCACGTCAGAGTTCAAGTTCAAGCCTCGCGGGGAGAACCACGGATAGAATCGGGAGCGAAGGGGGGGGGAGGATACTCTACTCCTACTTTTCCGCGTCTTACCCCAGAAGGACATGAAAATGGCGAAGAAGACGGTAGCTGGATTATCGAACAAGTACGTCAGTTTGGAGAATAAACAGGAATCGCCGAGTTTCTGGTAGGTGCACGCTCTGTCGCAAAGGGGGCACAGAGTGATGTTTCCTGGAAAGTCGCATACAATTAGAGACAGAAATTAACCCGCGCGGAAACGTCTCATTTCCGCCAAGCACGACGAGCGTAAAACACACGAGAGATAGCGGGAACAAGGGAGAACCCACCGGCTATATTAGGGTCGCAAATCTCCTTGCTGGGAACATTGTCCACACCGTCCATGCTCCCGAGGCCGTAAAAGAAGCACAAGAGACCCACCACCGCCGGCGGGTACAAACACTTCGTGTAAAAGCCTAGCCAAGCGAAGTACAGCGCAACTTTCTCGCCGAAGTATCGCCTTATCAACCACAGCGGTTGCTTCTTGTACCTAAACACACGAAGGAGAACGTGAAGGGTCTTTCCCGGGTGACTGATAATATAAACGTGACACTGATTACGAAATCATCTGCTCACCATTGCCCGGGTCTCGCCCATATCAAGTACAACAGATGCCTGTCGAGGATCTCCCCGTTGCGGAGGGGCTTATCGTAAGGGCCTTCGTGCAAGGGAAAACAGTCGAGATACGTCCCGTCCGCTAAAAGTCTACGAATACCGGACTTCTCATGGTTCTCATCGTATCTCCCTCGCAGCAATATTTGCATTACTATCAGCGATCTCTGTGCGGGCGTGTAAGCGGTATCTCTGTCCTTCACGATAAACCTGCAAGAAAACGCTGAAGCTTTAAGGGGATGCTAAAGCCGACGACGAATTTGATAAGCGTTGATAACGTAAATACGATCCATAAAATGTTTACATTACACAAACATCGACACGATCACGCTTTCTCCTTGTATTTCTTGTGCATATACGGATCTTACGTAAATGTAAGTGCGACATGAATGTGAATGTGATGAATGTGCGCTATCATATTTAATGGGAAATCTAACGAAGAACTTTTCTACAAACTTTCGTGGCCTTTTTAGATCTCGAAATTTAATTGAAAAGTATAAAAGCTAGAGATATTAATCTCATTTCACTACGTAAGAGCATTTATAATTATATGCAATCGTTAAAATTTGCAGAAAAAAGTCAATATTTTGCCGGCAGAGTTTTCAGGTGTGGCATCCCCTTCGTCAAACTTAACGCATTGCCAACCACTCGAGTTGCGCCTCACTGAAGCATATATTTCGTAAACGCAATAACATATCTTGACCTGAATCTTTATAATTCTTGCAACATGAGAGTTAATATAATAAAAGCTAAAAGTAAAAACAATTTTTTCCCCAGAATCACATCGAAAGTTTCGGTTGATCGGTCGATCAACGATCATTTAGAAAAATATAGATCTACTCGTCGGTCGGCAATGTGTCAACAACACACTGATTCCCGTCCCTCTATGCGTGATCGATACCTCTCCTTGCGATCGCCGGAATCGATGCTGTCGTAAAAATTCGGCTCCTCGGGGTACTTTACCGTGTCCCACGTGTGTACCCTGTGTATCCATTCCGCCCATCGCAACCATCTCTCCCAGAACTTCGGGATCTCTTTGACAACCTCCGTACCCTGTTTTCAATTCGCGATATCACTCACAGCGTCCGTAGAACGCACTGAGACACGCATATACGCACATGTGTCAGCTCTAGGAAGAGACGTACCCAAGCTTTCACGGAGATCGTGATGAACCTCTTGGTGGGCAGTTTCAGACTCATCACCTCGGCGTACTGCACCTTTATCTTCCATGGTATGTGCAGCTTCAAGAAGTATGTCTTCCCGTCGAAGGAGCTCTCCTTCGGCTCCAGCTCCAGCTGCAGACCCTCCTTCAGCAGGTTCTGCTGAAAGACTCGCCGTTGCTCTCGCCGGCGAGCTTCTATCTCCGTCATCACTCCTTCGCTCTCCTCCTGATAGACCAATACCATGTCGATCCTTCGACGACCGTCGCTGAAATCATCACATTGAGCGGAATAGCGAACGTTACATTGCGAAAACAGGAGAAAAGTAATTTAGAGAGACAGCAAATATTTATGCTGCCCTAGGAAATAAATTAAATATATGGAATGTTTCTTAGGTATTGTCCAGTATTTGGATTTCCGAACTCATTTTATGAAGAAATGAATATACGTTCATACGAACTTTTTCTCAGTAAAATTAAATCAAGAATAGAATATTCTCTTAGAATATTAGACAGTTCTTGACAAGAAACGCCCTGTACATTCATTTATTTGCTACGACAACGTAGCATATTTACTGGAGAGAAATCATTATTTTTCTCCATGTACGTAACAAGTCGCAGTGATATTAAGGCAGAAAGAGGGCGGGAGGGGGGGAGGGGAGAGAGAATTAACATTATTTTAGTCGGATTGTAAAAGAGACAATCTAATTTTACAACACATACTCACGATACATCGAGAGTGCTTAAAAATATAAAAAGCCTTCGAAATAAACGACTATTCGCCACGTCTTCACTCGAGTCATACACTTACGTGTACTCACGCCAAATGATAAAACTGATAAAACAAACATTACATTCTGAGGAATCGTATTAGGCATGTCGTAATAGAAACGAGTGCCCCCTTTATGCCTATGTCCATCCGTATGCTTATGTACACGTGTGTACATAAGCATGTGTACGTGTGTACATAAGCATGTGTACATGTGTACGTATACATCTCTCTCTCTCTCTCTCTCTCTCTCTCTCTCAACTTGATTGCCCATGAGTGCTTCACAGAGAGAACCTGAAATAACCCGGTGACATATCGCCGCGGTCGTAGATAACTACCTACCGAAAGTAAAGTGTCTCGGGATCGATTTCCGTTTCCGCCTCCCTCGGTGGCAATGAATCCCTCGCGTTCTCCGCGCAATCCAGCGAGACGGGCGTGACCGGCAACGAAGGGCTGACTTCCGGGGTGGCGGGCGCCTCGAGTTTAGGTCCTGCAACCGATCTCCGCGGGTGGAATTCTATGCTATGACGCGGGCAGTTTCCCGGCCGACTCGTCTTCGCAACGGAAACGGACCGAGAATGAATGAGACCGAATCGTCTATCGATATCGAGCGCGCTCTGATTGGTACCTGTTGCGTCGCTCGAATGAATTTTAAAAGTCAACCGGCTATTCTCAGACACCGCGGATAGACGTCGGAAATAGGGCCACCGTTGTCATTTTCAGAACGGCTCGCGTATTCTCTTATTAATACGGCGAAAGAGCAAGGTCACGCGTCGTACGAACATGACGGAAACGTAACGCCGGATGCGTACTCGTCCGTCCATCTACCTGTCTATCGCACGTGAAACTCGCAAGTAACTGCTTCACCTTGAGAATGCATCCATAATACAGTCTCCGGCGGCGTGCACTTTCGCAAAAGTAAGGATGTCATTACGAAAAAAAAAGAAAACTTGCGAAATGTTGGCCGATGCTAAAGACTGCAAGCGCACATACGCGTTCATGAAATAGACAATACAACCCTGCGTGAACCTAAGTCAAATCATTGCATTATTAACGTCCGATATTCGTGACACGTTGACATTCGTACGTATATTGATCGAGGTTTACTGACATAGCTTTATTGCCATTATAGACAACCGTCGTCGCTGCTGTCGAGTTTCCACGACAGAGCTCATTTTTATCCATTTTATACGCGCGCGTGTAGATCGTGTAGATTTTGTATCGCGTGTGCGTCCAGTTATATCTAGCTAACTCGGTCATTAAAGCATGATATAAGCTTCGTCGGGGGATTATCTGAAATTACTCCGCGATGTCCGCCGAGCGACATGCGAGAAGAATCCACGTGTTCGAAATGCAACGATAACGAAACGCTCGTGTTCGCTCGCTCGCTCGTTTGCGCGTTCGGCCTTGAAACGAACAAGTTTTCGCGAGTCTATATATATGTCTGTGTAGATTGAAAGCGTTCGTTAACACCGGCCCAAATAGCCGAACATGCGGTAGCAGATCTTACGCGGGGTCTGCTGTAAATTTTTTTTATCGACTTGCTAGCGGAAACACCACGGGGTCCGCTAGCGGAGTACGATGACAGATTGACGGCAGAAACCGAGCGGGATCTGCCGTTCCGTCACCATTTAAATGTACTTAAGTGAGACGTACCGTAGATCCTGCTCAACTTCTGTCGCCAATCCGCTGTCAAGTTATGTCAGCAGGCTCTGCCGACAGAATGCGAACTTAAGGCGACTCCTCGCTGCCAGTCGTCTTGTTTGATGACGGCAGAAGTGAGAAAATGCATGTCCATAACGTTGAAACAAACGAGTGTGTTTATAAAATGATACTCGTCATCGATTGAATACATTTGGTCATAGTTATGCAAGAAGGATCCAACTCACAAAATTATGATTTTTGAGATGTTGTTATCAATGTAATCTAAATGTATTTCTACAAAACAAGAAGGTTCAAGTCTTATGAGCGTCTAAAATTAATTAAAAACAGTTTTTATTTTCTACTCGTTTCGCCATTTTTTACTAATGGCGTCTTCTTTACCCATTCTTTTTTAAGCGGGTCTTAAGTTTATTAATAAATATTCTCAATGAAAAGAAAATATACTTGACTTCTTGAATAATTGTGAAGAACCTCGGTGATATTTATACTTTTTAAATCATATATCAAATTTTCATCTTCATTTTTTTCGAGATGCACTTGATATGGATTAGATCTTTTTTGTATGACGTCATTTATCATACCCGGAAACTTTCCTTTCGTTCTAATAATCAATAAATAACCGTGAAAGTAACACGACACGTTTCTTTTTTAGCCTATTTTTTCCCGCTGATTTTGTCACGCTCATTTTACAGCTGTTTATCGATTCTTGAAGTTTCCGGAATATTCGACAAATGTGCACAATTGATCACAAATATCATTTTGCGAACACTATTTAGTATAAATTTATATCTACGATTGAAAGGTTAATTCTGCAAAAATATACGTATGTGGTATGGTATTGCATAATTAACTTTCAACTTGAATAAGTTAATTTAATATCAACTCAACCTTTGATTACTTTCGTTTTAATTTAGATAACTCTCAGCTTAACCAAGTTAGTTAATTTTATAAGCAGTTAACTATTAACATATATCCCTTGCTTTCAACGCATGATTATTCCGCAAAAATTTGGAACATGCGTCTCCTCGCATATAACGTCGCTGATCAAGATGATCATGGATCCGCCACGGTATTCTATTCGAATGTGCTGCCAATCTGCCGGTATATTCTGTGTAACATTTTGCTCACTGGGAGGAATCGATCATCTTACCGAAGGCATCCCGCGCGGCCAGGCTCGTTCCGGTCGGGTGTATGCTGCCTCTCGACAATTTCCTGTTGATACTGGGCGTGCCGGTCGGCAGATAGCCGTTTTTTTCAAGCTCGTAAAGTATCTCCCTGTTAGGAACGCAGATCACACCCGATTCCGGGGATCCCGGCTCGTTACTCGAGGACCCGCTCTTCGCCGGCGTCGACTTCGCCGTGGAGGCGCGGGAGGAGACGTTGCCTGAGCCGCTTGATTTCTCGTCATTGAACTGGGACTCGACCGGGGTGTTGTCGTCGGGATGAAGAAAGTTGCCCCAGCTGCTGGGCCGGCGGCTCTCGTTATGCTGAAATCGTACGGCATGTTTTACAGCACCTCGCGTCAATTCGGTCCGAACGATCGTACAAGTATATCGATCGTAGAAAAAGCGAAAGGAAGAAAGAGAGGAAGAAAAAGAAAAGAGACACACATACAGAGAGATCGGATAGCGAAATAATCGACGAAGAGAGCCGCGGTCAGAGTTCCAATTTTACGACGGAGACGTTAACAATGCATGAGCGAGAAACGGAAAGGAGTTCACGAGCGACAAAATGGTCATGCGATCGATATTTTAATCGGGCCCGGGGATCGAAAATCAATACGCGTTTTTGCCAGTCGCATTATAGTCGGGCGAAAGAAACAAAAAGAAAAAACAGCGAGCGGCGCGTATTACGGCGATTATAAGGCGGTCCGAACTGGCGAACGCGTAACTTTGGAATAACAAGCACTTTCTCGCCTTATAGCCGCACCCGTCCAGCTATGGTAGGCGGAGATATCGATATTTCCGCCGTTTAGATGTATTATTAAGATACGTGTATATCCTCTCTTTAGATAGATCACTCAGATATGTCGATCGTGAACTCGACTCAAGCGCAACTTTGCAAATATTATTCCCCTTACCTCTCTCCCTCCCTCCCTCTCTCTCTCTCTCTCTCTCTCTCTTTCTCTATACTGCTTCCTATGTTTTGAACTCTGCGCTTAATCATCGTAATTACCTAAGCAATCTTCCTCTGTCAAACAACGTGAATCACAGTTTCCACTTCTGTATTAATCATATCTCACGAAACACTCTAACAGGACGATAGAGAAACGCCATACGCAATAATAAACTATCTATCTTTCTCTCTTCGTATCGCTCGTTCGACCTTTACACCAAAATCTCCCGATCGCGCGTCACAACTCAACATTAAACTAATCGTTATCCAGGCAGAATGAAACATCACGATAACTTCAACATGGCGTCAAAAGTGACGAGAAAATGATTATAAAAAAAAAAAAATTCGCTTTTTCGGTCATCGGCTCGTCACTTCGATATCATTCTGGCGTCACCGTCGCATTTTCCGTTCTACCTGGGTAGACGACGAAACGTACATGCATATTATTAAACGATCACTCACTATGAGAAATATTCTCACATGCGCGGGATGCAAAACCGATTTTCGGTACGGTGCTAAGTATACCTGGCTGTCATCGTCTACTTGCAGCGTGCTATCATCCATGTTGCCGGTCCCCGCGAGTCTCTTTCAGTGCACACGGCTCGGAAGACTTGCGGACTTTCGGCACGCACGATTCAGCAGTATCATCTTTCGTCGAACACGACGACTTTTTTTCGCGCCGATTGTCCGTACGATCACGTTGCCAGACGCGCGACCGGCGCTTTACACGACGGCATCCCCGTGATCAGCCGAGGAAGGCCGAGGGAGCTCTCGGTCCCTCGAAGGGCTCATCATCATCATCATCATCATCGCGTGGGCGATTCCTCCTCCGCGACCAACGACACTCAAATACTCGTCGTCGTCGAGAGTTTGCCCGGCAACGTCGCCGATAACACCTCGAGCGAGCCGCTTCCTCGATCGCGTCTGATAGTTAATCGCAAGGAAACGAGCATCGATCAGTGTCGATAGCTCGTCGAGCTGGCGGCGACCTCGCGCTGCTCACGGCCGGCTCTCGTCAATTATGAATAAAGCAGCGCTCAACCACGCCTCGCAGAGAACGCGCTCCGGTGGTCAGGGTCGTGTAATGCCCGGAACACCCTTACGGCGGCACGAGGGACGACACCTCCAGGGAGTCGCGTCCGTGCAATCGGCCCACGCGCGTTTTCACGCCGTCGAACATGATGAGCTGAGGGCAGAGAACCGGCGAGAGCTTCGGTCTCGCGGTGTCTCGTCGAGTTACATCCGCTCGAGTACGCTTCTTCACCCGATCTTCGTTAGTTTTCTTGCTTTCTCGATCCAATGCGGGTATCTCTCTTTCTCTCTCTCTCTCTCTCTCGATCGGTGATTCAAAGACGCAACGCGGCAGCGGGAAATTGAACGGTCGGAGGACTTTGAGCGGCGAACGTTGCAGTTTCTCGTGTTTCACAGCCGACGAGGCGATCCTGTGGTCAAATTATTGTCGATCGAACAAGTAGGCTAGTTTCCGCGGCACCAGTGTGGCATATACTGGCCGATGGATAGCGATGCGATACTTATATGTCACGCGTATCGTCATCAATGTCGCGTTATTTATGTGGCTCGCGGCACGTTTCGCTCGCCGATGTCGCGCGCGCGTGCACCTCCCTCGAACATCATTCCGCGGCGATGCGCGAGTCTGTTGTCCGCCGTGTGCACGTACATACGTTATATACACCCGTGTGTCTGCGTGTGGGCGCGCGGGGGTGCAAATTTCACCCTCCCCCGGCGCGCACACGTGTGCGAAGCGACGGAATGTCGCGATGACCGAGGCTTTCGAGATCGCTATGGTTACCCAATAGACACAACATGTGCGGCGTAGCGCGCGACGTTAAACGGACGTTATTGCCGATACACGAGCTTCCCGGAGCTTGAACTTGAGACGATCAGCGGGACGACGGGATCTGAGAATCCGCGTGCGCTCGTTCGTTGCCCAACGAGAGACGATGACGGTATCGCCGAGGCATGAGACATGAATGTACAAAGGATATCGGGCAAGGACGAGAGAAGAGATATCGCGCATCGGCGTGATCGACGAGATCATCCCTTCGGCGATCTCGCGGCGATCTCGCTCGCATGCGCATTCCGGACTAGCGAAATTCCAACGGTTGCGAATTTCAAATCAATCGCGAGAGCGATCGAGTTGCCGTTAATGATTCATCGACGTGGCTCGTGAATCGTCAGGATGGCCGGCGATGACTGGATAATTATCGGGCGGAATTTTCCAGCGGTTTCGGCCGCGAGAACGAGCTCAGACGATATCCTGCGGCGCGACGAACGCTCCGACTCGCGCTTGACTAGGGCTGTAGCGTCATACGCCATATTCACGAGGCGCTTGTTGAGTCAGTCAACAGGCACCTGCATTGGCCGTGGACGGTTTCGGATGCGGCTGTCCTCCTTCCACCGATTGACACTCGCACGTCCTTCTTCGACGATCTCGCACGCTTATCGACGAGGGTTATCGCACCGTATTCCGGAGGGGAAGCTGCCCTATCTCGGCCTCCCGTTCAGGGGAAGATCCTATGTGGCGCGGATAATAGAGCGTGGCAGTCGCGTCGCAGCGAGAAGCTGAACATTATTTCGATGTCGTCCTGCTGCGGAGTTGGGCGTGTCACGATGCGTGCTGTCTGTATGGTCGTGATCTGCACTTTCCTGCAAGCAGGTAAACAGCGCGTCGTTAGTGAAAACACTCTACATATGCATTCCACGCGTATGTTAATTATTAACGCCGTTTTGCTCGCCACTTTAATACTGAAAGTATCGGAACGGAGTCGAAGAATTGTCGTTATTAATAATTCAGTCAATTCTCTCGTCACTTTCGCATCGACGGTGATTTTCTATTCTGTCGGAATGACACACGCGACAACGCACACATATATATATTTGCGGAGATTTCATGTTATTTGCACTATTCGTTTGCAGTTGCGGGACAACGTACTCCGACGATATCCTACATAACGCAGCTACAAATCAAGGACATCGGTGAGACCGTGGAGCTACAATGTTCAGTCCAATACGCACAGGACTACCCTATCCTGTGGAACAAGGTGAACAAGCTAACGGACCAGGTGGCAATCTCGTCGGGCACCGGTTTGCTAATCAGAGACAGTAGATTTTCTCTCAAGCACGACCCAGCGTCTTCTACTTACATTCTGCAAGTAAGACTGTTAGAAGTATATATACATATATCTTTGGCCGGTATTCAAAGTCAGATCTTATATTGAAGACCGTCTTAAGTTTATCTTCAGATATCGCAAAGATCGTTCCATTGGCTATAATGGATCTGAAAATGAGTTTGAGACGACTCTAAATATGAAATTGAGCTATGAATACCAGCCTCTGTCACTTACAACATTAATGCGACCTCACTCCCGCTGTTTCAGATAAAAGATATACAGGAGACAGACGCCGGATTTTATCAGTGCAGAGTTCAGTTGTCCATCAATAATATGGAGAACGCGGAAGTGGAATTGCAAGTACGCAGACCACCAGTGATCAGTGACAACTCTACCCAGTCGATAGTGGCAGGCGAAGGCCAGCCTATCCAATTGGAATGTTACGCCGGTGGATTCCCGACGCCGAGGATATCCTGGCGCAGGGAGAACAATGCCATCTTGCCCACCGGAGGATCGATTTACCGGTAAGATGTAACTGATGCAAGATAGGGGAGGGAAGGGCACACAGGATCGTTTAACATCCTTAGGTTAATAAAAAAATTATCAGCCATAGAAAAATAGTCCAAATTTGCTTAGCATGTTCAGCGTGCAGCATGCTCAACATCTAAAAGGGTTAAGTATATTCAAACAATAAATTAGCTTCATGACTGTACGAATTTTCTTTTTAGAAATTAAAATTATTGTAAGGAAAACCGGTTCTGTATAACCCTATTGAGATTTCACATGGGAATGGTGATAAAAATAAGTTTTAATTCAAGGTAACATAATTAAGTTAAAGAAGAGCAACTTATAATTACACGCAACTTATACAAATTAATATTATCATCCTCTTTGGCCCTGATGTAGGCATCATGTGAACAATTTTTACACACACCACACTGAATCCAACCTTTGTTTGATTTAACTCTTAGTGACTTATATGAAAAACTGCACTACATGTGGCCCTCCATGAGTCTTTCTGGCTCTTTTTTCATGACTTTAAAGTGATTCGAAAAAATCTGTAAAAATTCACGGATACACTTTCAAGTTTTTAAAACAAATATCTGTACTTCATTGTGCAAGAAATTAAAATGTAGTATATTAGGGACCCTTCAACGTGCTGAGAAATTTCTGTGAATAGAAACCGTCCGGACTCCGAAATACCCATGTAAGGTCACAAGGGTGAAATTGGAAGAATGTTTTTGTCCAGTAAATGTAGTGAGGATTCGCATCGTTGTCATCTTCAGAATCATGCTATTGTCACCGCTATTGTCACCAAATTTTCGTACCTCAAAGGCACTGTTTTCAAAAAGCAAACTTCACATAATTAAAAATAACGTTCGCACACACGGACCGCAGTCACTCAACTAGCAATGGTCTTTACGATATAGTTATTTCATTCGCAAACAAATGTCGATAGCTGGTCTATATCTTTCAAAAGTGTTGACCCCTATATCTCTTCCCCTCCGACTGTTAGACACTTCAATTATATAGCATTGCACAACGTTGTCAACGACTGTTTCCTAAAAAAATAAAAAAATAAAAAAATCGGAAAATAAGAAAAAAAAACTAGTTTTTCCGAGTCTTTAAAAATCTATATGACTGTTACAGCGGCAATATTCTGAAAGTACCCTCCATAAGGAAAGAGGATCGCGGAACATATTACTGTGTGGCCGAGAATGGCGTCGGACGTGGTGCTAGGCGTAATATCAACGTGGAAGTCGAATTCGCGCCCGTGATCACTGCCCCGAGACCGCGGCTCGGACAAGCACTGCAGTACGACATGGATCTGGAGTGTCACGTCGAAGCGTACCCAGCTCCAGGCATTATTTGGCTAAAGGACGGTATCCAGCTGTCCAACAATCAGCATTACAGCATATCGCACTTTGCGACGGGAGACGAATACACCGACACGACGATCCGCGTGATTACCATTGAAAAGCGGCAGTACGGCGAATACGTATGCCGGGCGACCAATAAAATAGGCGCTAGCGAGACGACAATCGAGCTTTTCGGTAAGGGAACATCGCAAGAGGTATTTCACACGGCTTCTATGTAGTATACCGATTGTAGAGATGTCTCTAGCTGGAACGATCGTTGCTCGATCCTCCTTGTTCGACACGTCGATTCTGTATGCATGACTATAGCGAGACATTCTCGTTCTTTTATTTGAGCCGTGAGACTTCGCGACGCGTGTTCAAGCATACATTTTTATGTTTCTTTGCTCCACAATTTATTGTTCGAAACATGTTTCCCGTTCCTCCTGTCTTATTAACGAATCGCAACGCGGACTTGTCTTTCTTTTCGTAGCTGGCATGTCTTAGATGTGTTCCCTTCGTTTGTTTGCGCAGAAACCATTATCCCTGTTTGCCCACCAGCTTGTGGCCAAGCTCATTACGGAACTGGTGTAGTTCCAGCTTCCTCAGGACTTTTGGTAGCCCTAGTTTTAATAGTTACAGTCATAACGAGGTAAGTTAATCTATCTTCCATTCTAAGAAGAAATGTTGTGATAGTTTCTAAAGATATTTCGATTTCGTAGACCGTAAGCCGATATTTATATTTTGCGTTTGCTACTTACAGAAATTTCTACGCCAAATATTAACTATCCGGGCCTCCAGTGGGCGGCCACAAGTCGATGCGTGCTCGCAAAATGGCTCTTACCAATCAGCAACATATTTGTTATCGTTTTCGCGATACTGTAAAACCACAAGCTAGTTTCTGAGGAGCTCAATTGGCGCATTAACTAATCAACCACTAATATTCATATCATTATAATTACTTTCATAATCATTTACGAACTAAAAACGTTTTATCGCCAATGCAAAATGCACTTTTCACGATGGACATATAATCCTCACTGCTACGCAAGTTGTTAACTACATTGATTTGATATCATTTACATTCCGTTCCGCTCATCGCAGCTCTTTTCTACAGTATATATACTTGGATCATGGAATCTTGATTTTTTTATATATGTATATATGCATTTTTTAATGTATATATACATGCAGTTTATACATATATGAACATGTAGTACAACTCGTAGAATCTCTATATTATTTTGTTATATAGTGTTCTCTCGAATTTTTGCGACTGATTTCTCTCTATGCGATATCACGCACAGAGATGTCCTTTACGAATTGTTTACAACGAAATTGTAACATTATTTGAGGAATATTAAACGCTCGAAATCGAGGGTTTATTTAATGGAATATTAAAGGAAGGGAAAAAAAAGGCGTATCTGATCTGATTTCTTATTCATCAGACGTGTTAACTCTGTACTTGTTGATACATCTTACTCATCTTAATCGTTAGAAAATAGAATTCATACGGCTTATATTTATGAACTTAGGGGCCAACAGTATGTAACCAAAATGTTGGCAAGGTACAAACTAACATTCCAGTACACACTTACGAGCGACCATGTAACCATGTGTTACGTAGTACCATGTAACTCTATATATAGCGTAATGGAGATCTATCGACTTGACGAGTGACGGAGAAGCCAAAAATAATCACATTACGATACATACTATGTGTAATCCCATAGTTTATTATTATGATAGTCGCAAATCGACAATACAGGTTATGTTAATATCATAATAGAAACCGGAAACCTGACAGTAGAATTACCACAATATCCCCATAACGAAATAGCTCGATATGTCATGAACAAAGAAAATAATGTTGATATTAGTGCCTTGTTCGTGATATAAAGTAGAGGTAAAATTATGAATATATAGCCGTAGAAATCATGTTACTAGTGCGTATTTGAATAGGATCGTATAGGTTTATTCGTACGTTTTATTAAATACACTTCTTTACTTACTGCATACTTACGACGTTGGGAACATTGGTTCCTCTCTTACCAAGGCGTGCATCGTATGAGCGTTATATACAAGTAGGTAGATAGAAGCTCAACGGAGACGTTTTTATATACTCTTTACAAATTTACTATTTTACAAGTACTAATATTCGACTCGTATATATGCATTGTCTTTCTTGAAAAGCTACTATATGCTCGCAATATCCGTAGTAACTTTTAATATTTACACACCTCGCGACAATTACGTGTCGCTAGGTATATTATGATCCGCGTAATATGTCCGCGAAAGTTTTATATATATATATATATATATACGTATATTATAACTACTCTTCTTTATACAATGTCATATTTTAAGACATAAAAATGTGAGATTATTCTTATCTCTCGTATGTATGAAGCAAAGGAGCAATAAAACTTTATTAAAACAAAAGTATTTCTTATCCTTTAGAGATCGAGTTACAAGCAGAAGTATCATTTCACAACTTGAAGACAGCCTTGCTTATTTCTCCCTTCCTCAGCGCGTACAGAGCGTCTTCGTATTGAGACAGAGAGAACACCTTGATCCCTAATTTATTGTAATCGATATATTTCTCCGACATCGCTTGCAACAAAGCTAAGCCTTTGCTGAAGCTGTAGGGGTTTATATTTACTCCTAAAATCTGCAGTTCCTTCTTGTAAACCTGCCAGCAAAGTAAAGTCTCTTCAGTAAGCGGATTAGAAGCGAGACATCTGTTCAGCGGTGCGATGTCGTCCGAGTTTACCTGAAACGGTTCGATCGTCAGCTTCGCTTGCGGATGAGCGACGCCGAATACGCATAAACGACCGCCGGGACCCAATAAAGGCACAGCTGCCTCCATGGCCGGGCCGGAACCGCTACAATCCACAGCCACATCAAAATACCCTTTCAACTCGCTCTGACTTTTAACTTCGTAATTCAAGCCTACGAGTGCAAAAAATGTTTCCGTTAGTTCGCTCTCAAAAGTAGTATCCTGTATCCCGAAATAGTACAAAGCGTAATGATGATGATGATGATTTTTAAAAATGTCTCAAGTGAGATCCGGAGAAGGATCTCTCTCGAGTTACCGAGATTATCGGCGATCCGTCGGCGTTTCTCCTGCGGTTCGGAGATAGTGACGGTCTTGCGGAGGCCATGCAGATGGAGCAAACAAGCCCACAGTAAGCCTATGATGCCGGCACCTATTAGGAGGACCTTGCTTCCAACATTCACGGGATTAAGTTTGTCCCAACCGTGAGCCAGACACGATAACGGCTCGCTCAGCACCGCCTGGTGCATTTCCATTCCGTCCGGGATCGGATACACCTACGAATGTACAAATACGTACAGCGAGTGCAGCGGGGACGACGAGTGCAGGCACAGCGTGGTGCGTCGCACCACGTAGCGATATCGCGTACCTGCGTCTCTGGGACGAGCGCGTGCGTGGCCCATCCGCCGTTTCGGAAAATCCCTAAGGTGTTGTTTATGCCGCCGAGCTCGCAGTAGTGGTAATTCGCATTGTGACAGTGATCGCACTTGTCGCAACCGCTGTTGGGATCGACGGCGACGCGTTGGCCGACCTTGAAGATTGTTACCTTCGACCCAAGCTCATCGACCGTGCCCACGAACTCGTGGCCGAGGGTCACAGGTCCGTCCTTTTTACAAGGAAAGGATCCCTGAGGAACATATTACTATCAAAAATAACATCCGTCCGTTGTGCACGTTGGAGTTGATGCGCAGCAACGACGCTATGATAAACGAGACGATCGACGGTTAAGAGGATGCATACTATTTTATCGCGGGTCGTGTCATTTCAGATAAAAGCGCCATTATCGACTATGATAAAACAAACAATTATCGCATGTCACGTCTTTCCTCCGCAGCGTGGAATATTTCAAAAAATGTAACGACTCATCGGCTCAAAAAACCAGTTAAAAAAAATATTCTGCGTTTTGCCGTGTGTATTTATCTTCACAGATAGTAATAGAAAATATTATAAACTTTATATCTCACTGTAAATGACGTAACTCGTAAAAGTGCGATGCAATTATATAAACAGGCATGGGAGCGGTTTAGCAGTTAAAAATAATTTGAAAATAAAGTCTCAGTTTTTCACTTTATGAACATTATGTTGCCGGAGTCGCATGTTGCTACTTTCTATCTTAAATTTTTTATTTTGCCTTGAAACAAGCTATTTATCGAACATGGTATTTTGTGATTTTTTTTAAAGGCTCCATTCGAATAAGAAAAAAGTGACTTTTCTTCTTAAAAGTAAGAAAAAGTGAGATGTTTCTAAATAAGTGAGGGAAAGTGAGGGAAAGTGAGTCTTCTATGCCTGTATAAAGAATAACGCTGTATGAGACAACTGTTCTAACGGGATTCTTTCAAATTACGCAAGCCCACAATGTAACAACATACTTCTAGAATATGAAGATCCGTGCCGCAGACTCCGGAATACGAGACTTTAATTCGGACCTCATTAGGCGCCGGTTTAGCAATATCGCATTTCTTAAGAGTGAGCGATTTACTGGACGAATCGAAACTCAGATATTCCATTGTCGCTACCCGTGTACGATCCGCTCGAGACGCCTCGATGGAGGATACTGAGAGATCTAATCATCCTCTTTCATTTTTTTTATATTCACTTTTTACGAGTTCACGGCTCTCGTGTTATCTTATCTTAGAAAACGTTCACAACATTCGATGTTATATAGACGCAATGATTATGTTATTCCGATGTCACGCGTAAAAGGTCACCATAGTTACGTGCAGATTAAAGCTTGAAAAACGAGTGTGCAAACGACAGCTTAAGCGTTATAATGTACGTGTGATATAAACTAATGATAAACTAATTCTTTGTTTCCTTCAATATTCGGCTAACGGCTAAGATTCGATCAATTATGAAAAGAAAGAAAATAAATAAGACGGTAAACATGCGCCGAATAACAATAAACAGTAATATAATAGCAACGACTCAGCAGCGAATCAGGGCAAAACAGGCGCGCGGATTAAGCGATAGAGGCAAAATTCAAAATTCACGCATGTTAATACTGCGAATCTCATTGCCTGGCCTATCGCATGCCGAGACTAAGCTGTTAAAATAAAAATAAAATTATAGTTACCAGAAAACAAAAGCGAAGCTTTTAAACAGCCTTGTAAACAGTAGCGCTTTCTAAAGAAAATGCTATATTTGAAAACTTGGCTGGTAAAATACTGATTTCTTTCTGCAAAGTTTATGTCGTGTTGGCTGCACAAAATCATAAATACTTTCACACGGTACGCGCGGAAGAGTACACGTGAAGATAAATTGGAGCATTGCTCGATATGTGACAAAAACCACTAAAAATGTTAAAACTGACGTCAGTATACTCTAATTGTCAGTCAGCGTAAATATTCACCTGATACAGAAATCCTTCGGCTTGTACGTACCGAATGTAGCGATGCTTCAATCGGGAAAATTTTAAAGAATACTTCGGTACTTTTTTAATTCAATTTACAGCCTTAAAAAGATACGAAAAGTTTACAGGAAAAAATTTAACATACATTTGTTAGATTTTCTGTTAGATATAATAAAACAGAGCAACGTATTCGTCATATTTATATAAGATCTATATGTACAAGAAATACAGAAAGAATAGCGTGATTATGTCAGTGTTTATGTAACATAACATTTTAAGGATCACTTCTACGTTATCGGCGCTTGTCAAGTTCGTTATCAGCTCGTGAGCTCGTATCCTTTCGATAATGATAGTCAAGTCGGTTCGGAATTTTCCATAAGCGCGGGGAAATTATTGGCGTTGAAATACGTGGGTTCTCTTCCTTTCAGTTTTTCCTCGAGACACGTTTTCGCTCCGAACTACCGTTATCACAATTTCTTTCTCGAGTTTTTTTCTGATGTGAAAAACGCTGTATAAGATAGTTAACTGTTCGTGATTTATCAAAGTCTTTTGTAGAATGTCTTTTGTTTCAACAGATTCGATACAAAAGCTATGCTCCACCCTCATTTTCGCGCAATATGGGCGAGTAAATGTAGTTATAATGTTAACCTTAGCTTAGCGTTCACGAGTCAAGTTGACCTAAGCTAAAAATTAAAATCTTATAGTTGTTAAATCTTGAATTATTGCGCATATAAATATGGAATTCTCTTTTTTAAAATATGCAAAAATGTTTACTTATTCCTGTGTAGAATCAATACGTTATCTCTTAAATTATCTAGTTTAAAAATAATAATGGCACACATTTTTCAAATTTACCTTCCGCAATCGAAAACTATAATATCTGGTACACTGTATATGGATAGTCACATTTATATGTATAAAAATTTATTTATAGATATAGATTGATAGATATTAAAAGTGTATCAAAAATGTCACTTGTTCTCACAGGCCTGTGCTACTATAAATTAATCAGTAAAAAATAAGCGTGCCAACGAAGCTAAACTATATGTAATAATTGTTGTACAAAAATGTACGCAGTGAAAGCACCGAACGAATCGCCGAATGAGTCCAATCACAGTCGAGAATCACAAAACGTCAATCTTACACGTTCCCATCGATTCTCGAGCGTGATTTCGATTGAACGGTTCCCCACTCGAATTCCGTTGCTTCCGAGTTTCCGAGTCGGTCCTCAAGTTGGACCGAGATCAGGCAAACGTCGACCAAATAACGCGTTCTCTTCGACTTTAATTGCGCATAGAAATGAACTGTAATAAAAATGTTCCGTTTCACGGGGAAAGTTCGTGGACTTTCTCGACGTCTAAGACGTCTCGTCTGAGACGTGCACGGGCAAACGGATGCCGACTAATCGCAGCCTCGGGCATAAGCTCGCGTTCTTCCGTCGGGGAAACGTAACGGCGATGCAGAAGCGGAAAATTCATTCATGCACGGCGGATCGACTCGGCTATGAACGAGCGTCCTTCGATTCATGAGAAATTTCGGGTCAACGGGACGGAGCTGGATAACTGGTTGCACTGGGAAACCGGAAATGAGGTCGCGAATGACGTCATCGCGCGTTCACTGCCGTTCATTCAACCCCCGGGGATAAACTGGGTTACTGGGACAGAGCTACCCCTCTATCCTGATCTTTCGGGAGAAAGATCCCCGGACTCTAGAAAGCGGGGCCACGCTCCGTGCGTCATGCGTAAACGCCACCGCGAACTGAAAACGAACCGAGTCGAGCACGTCGAAAATCATGCGATTGCATTCGCGCCTCTCTTTCTCATAGATCTTTCCAAAACACCGCTATTTCTTTTCGGAACTCACCTCCGCAAAAGCTGCGAGCAACGTTCTATGAGCACTTTCAAGCATGAATTATATTTATACTTGGGTCGGAGAAATGCAAGATAACTGTCACCTGACACTTGATTTCCATCGTGCGTCTAAATCAACTTAACTCTAGCACAAACTTCGTAATATCTAAGCTTTCAGTGCAAGTCCTTCTCAGAGGACTAAGCCATAGGGTGACAATAAACGTATACATATCCCTGGAACTTTTTGGAACTCACTCCTTCGTAAGATCCGAATAAGTAGAACTTTGAATATTTTTAAACGCAAACTTCATTCATATCTGTGCTGGTGAAACGCAAGACTGCGCGAATTTAACTAAATAACCAGGTACACTTAGTAAATTTTTGCGACCCCTTGCACTTTAACGTTCGAGTTAGTCCTCTTTTAATTACAAATTAAATTAAAGAACTGTACTGAGTAATTACTCAATGTTTTCTCTGTAACGCTCTTAGAAGGCTTAATCTTACAGCGACAATAAACATATCTATTTATCTATCTATCTCTCTCAACAAACAAAACGTCCATGGTCGGCGCTCAGCAACCTCGAAGGATGGCTATGAATCCTGATAACCTAGTTTAGAATCGATACGATATGTCTGAGGGAACGGTCGAACGCGTGATCCCACCGACGTCATCGCTTCCGAATTAGGTCGCTCCGGGAAATGTATCGCTTAAAACATCGGTGCGCTCGCACAGGACGTCCTAGAATTTCGCTTCCCTCGTATGCCCTTCCGCCCTGAACGGAAGTCGTTCGAGGGGCAAAAATCCGATTCATCACTCCGTCGCGTTTCTCTAACGGCCCGAGAGAGAAACAGGCTCTCTCTCTCTCTCTCGAAAGCTCCAACGACCCACGAATTGACATTTAAGCGTAACGAGACGAGCAGAATAATGTGATGAAGTGAGCAAAGCACATAAACATTTGCGTTTTATTCTTGTCCGCAATTTCCCGAACACCGAGTGAACGAGCAAGAGAGAAAGATAGAGGATTGAGAGAACGATCTACTTGAGACAGATCGAGTATCTCCCTGCGCAAAAATGTCTATCTATGTCTGTCTTGCGCGTATTCATAATAAGTAGCCAATGACGGCACGTGGTTTGGTTTCTGAACGAGCTGCAAGGTGAATGGACCGTTCGACGTCATAGCGCTCAAAGTAGGTCGTCGTGGATGAGCCAGGGTCGTATCGCCTTGTCCCTTGTTATTGCCACCGCGACACGGCAGTACAGTTCATTGAAAAACCGCGACTCGATCAATATCTTCCGCGGGTGGCCGTGTTAACAACAATTTACCAAGCGGAACAACGTCGAATTCTTGGCGCCCTTTGACCTATGAACAACAGGCGCCGGCCTGTGCCGAATAGTGAACGCGGGCACGGCGGGTGGGATCGAGAAGGGGAAGAGGTAAAAAAAAAAAAAAACGCCAAGGCGAAAAGGGAAGGACAGAGAGAGAGAGAGGGAGAGAGAGAAAAAAGAAAACGGGGGGAGGAGGAGACAGACGTATGAACGGAAAGCGGAAGCGACCGAGCCGCTCGCTCAATGAAAGAGCTCTATCCCCGCGAGCGGATGCGAATGGGTAGGCAGTCCATTGAAGGTTGCACGGGTATTCGCATTGCGTATGCGCAGCTTCGCCGTTTCTCTTTATTCAGCGAAAGACATGCTTGCTCCATTCGTTCGGCCGTTTCTCTCGCCGCCATACCGGAGTAATCGTAAAGATCACTCGGATACTTCTCGAGAGTTCTCTCGGGAAGAATCGAATTAGCGTCGAGAACAGGATCTGTAAGTCCGGATCGACAATAGCTCAACTCCAAACAACAAGTGATAAAACATTACAATAATGTTGTATTATACTTGTCGAGTGAGAAATTGTAACATTCGTATATAATGTTATTGTTGATTGGCGTTTACTGGAAGGTGCTGCAAACTTTTAGTCTTCTACCACCTTAAGCTATAAAATGTAACACAATTTCTGAAAAACGCGTCCCCCACGCTGTCAAGTCGCGATAACGCTTAAATCTAACATTGAATAGGAAAATTGCTGCGTTCATGTAAATATTTGCTAAAAAGTATTTGAGTAATTTATCTTATTTGGATTAAGTAAGTATTATTTGAATGTAGCACACTGAGAGAAAAAAGTGTTACATTCAAGTAATATTTACTCAATCCAAATAAAATAAATTATTCCAATACTCCTTAGCAAATATTTACTTGAATGTAGCAATTTTTCTCAGTGTAGGAATTGCGACATTCGTTAGCGCACTGGAAACGTTTTTCGCTAAAAATTACGTTACAATTTAAAGCTTAGAGCAAAAGGTCGCTACATGTATGCTACATTTATTGTTAGATCCAGCTTGAAACAACGATCGTCCATTCGTACAAACCGAGAATCTAACAGTGATCACACCCGAATGTCGTCCATACATCAGCCGGATAAAAAAAGACCCAAGTACGTCGGCTCGCCGACGTGTTTTAAAATGCGGACGCGGATGCGTGAATCAATGCGCTCCGTAGGCGATCTCCTTCCTGCTTATTTCGCAGTTACGTATGTTTCAAAGTTTTTTCCGGTTAATCATCGATTATTCCATGCTTAAGCGCGACACAGACACACACATCGAACGAGACGTTATATACGAGGAACGTTCTGTTTTCTGCGGCCCGACTACCGGAAACCGGATGTGACGTAGCCGTCGGGCTCTCTCAGCACACCGCCACCGAACTGCGGAAAAGCCGTCTGTTCTCCGGCGAAATAGACTAAACGGTATCTATACGGTGGCGTCTTGAAAAAATCAAGGCGTTTCTAACGCGCTTTTGCGCGCGATATCACACACGTCGATTTCGCATGTGTAATTTAACGAAAGAAGAAATCCAGAGATTCGAAATTAATGTCGGATTTGGCGACATTACAGATGCAGCGTGTCACGATGTGACCTTCGCGAGGTGTAAATCTCCGATGAGACACTGCTCTGCCAAGGCCGCCAAGAGAGCTCGTATCCGTCTTGTATCTGGCCGGAAGAGGATGTGACGTGTCGCTCGGTTGATTAAACTATTAGTGAAAAACCTCCGTCTCATGCAGCCGCCGGATTTGATTAGATAAATCGCCACGTTCGTATTGACATACGTGCGAACGTTGATCGTGCGTCTTGCGAGTTAATCGCCGCGCACATCAAGCGGAAATATCAAGAAAACGAAAAGTATAAACTGTCACGCGGCCGATGATGCAGCTGTTAATCGATATCTAGGCATTTTTATCGCGGCCTGTGGAGATCAACTGTGAAATCCTCCGCGTATATATTTTGTCGTCTACGCTGCGCGCCGCGCACGCGAGCAACATAATGTCGATAATGACACGTGCTCGTGTACACGTGGAGCATCGTGTCTGAAACTCGGCTCTGTTAAAATGCTGCGAGGCGATATCCAGAAATAGCCCGAAAACTCTGTTAACGGTGGCAATCGCTCTCTCTTCCTCTCTCTCTTCCTCTCCTATGGCGCGCCGAAAATTGACCCTCCATGAATGAATTTTCGTGAAACACTTATTCAATCAGGCTCCTGTGGAACTACATCGCTCTTCCACTTCGAGTCGCAAACCACTTCATCGGGCCCTTTTAATAATATTTTCATTCATTTCGTGCGTGTACCGCGAAAATGTAGCGCACGCGAATACATCGTGAACGCTCCGACACGTTCGGTTTTCCTCACGATAACTTTCCTAGCATAATTGCTCTTCTTCTCTTTTAATTTTTTAGTTAATCGTATTATAAAATGAGAGATCGACAGAGAAGTAGAGAGGGTGAGAAAGAGAGAGTGGAAGTTTGCTGCGTGCGTATCGATTGGGGACGCTGTTCGCCGACGAGACTAGCCTACATTCTATCCCCTTTCTTCACCCTTCCCAGCGAAGGCCGGTTTATTTCCCTCCCTGCACCCTCTCGACGACCCATGTTCCAAGTTCTCATTCAACGTAGCCTCCTCTCTGCTATCTCTTAGCTAACTCTCCGCTACCCTGCCGTCTACCGCTCTTTTTTCCTATTTAATCTCTTCTCTCACGGTCGGTGCTCGAAGAGAGTTTATGGAAAAACAAAGACAACGAACTAAAACGCACCACGAAGAAGCAATATACGTGAGCAGCGACGGAGAACAGAATGAGCATCGTTTCTTTCGTTCGTATCAAATAGAGGCGTTTATGTCGAGCGTGAAAGAGTGTAAAAAGGGCGAATAACAAGCGATGTTGCGCGTTATTTCCCCTTGTGACGAAGAAATTTATACACGTGGGCCTGATTGACATGTGTATAATAAACAATGTCCAACCGTATAAAAAGTATTTACTGTATAATTATTCGCGTAGATCATCGCACGGTTGTCGCCGTGTCAGTCGGGAACTCGTATGAGCGACGAGGGAGGGAGGGAGAGAAAGAGGTAGAACGTTGATTCTCTTCTCGTCGACAATGTCATCCACCATCGGCGGTATCGCCCTAGGATGCCGCGTACAAGGGTCGGTAAAGCGAGGCCACGTACCGCGCCAGAGGGAGGGTGGGTCGGATCCGCGTATCCGTGTCACGAATGCGCGCGTCTGCACACTCCACCTCGCCACCCCTTCGCGGCCAGCGAAAGAGGTGAATGCAGTTGGCCGTCATTTTGCAATCCGTTCAGACGCCATTCAGATGCGTCCGATGCGAGTGCCCGACATCGCGCGAGTTACCTGCAGAACGTTGCCGCCGTCGTCTTCGACACTGATGTGCACAGGGTGATGCGGACGATCCCAACGACGTCTTAACACGTGACAAGGTTCGAGAGAAGGGAAAGGCTCGTCCGCTTCTTCACGTCCTCGTCTCTTCGCAAGGTATACAATCATTGTGGCGAACATATCCCACTAGCGCTTCACGAAGATCGGTCACGATCGAGCACGAGTAGCTTCCGACCGTCGCATCGTCCGAAAGCATTTTCGCTAACATTTAGCCGACGTCTTCATTCATCGCGCCGAATTCCGGCCGAGGATCTCGTGCGAAACCGAGTGCGACTCCTCCTCTTCCTCAGGAACTTTCTTTCGAGCAGTCGAATAACGCATGTACGCATCCGTACGTCCGATCAGAGCAACAGTGTATTTTCACGTCTCCGATGGAAGATAGATGGGAGCCGTGTTAATCGTGTTACCACGTCGAACACGAAGCGCATTCTCGTACCGGCGATTTCATACATTTATAAATCACTAATAACGTTCTTGGACTCGATATCCTCCCGGGATATTTTCAACGACAATGCAAATTGCACAAACTCAATTGCGATCCTAGATGCAAATAACTCGGCGTATTCCTCGCGAGTCGACGGTACAACGAGACTTTGAACTCTGAACCGGACGGCTTCGCCTTCATCGAGTACATGATTGCATGTAATTAACGTGTACGCGTGCGGCGGATAAGACGAGACGCACACACGCCCGCGCCGTGTCTCCCTTCTTTTAGATAATTTTACACAAAACCAGAAAAAGTGCCGCAATTTTATCCGAAGTATTAATACATCGACACGCGTTAAAACGGTACATTTTCCCATAAAAGCGCATCCTCGTTATTTCTCGCTCCCGCGTAAATTTAATTCAAAAAGAACGAGGCGTGCATCTTTTTGACCATTGAACACACACTAAGTGTACGTTGCCGGAACGAAGGCGCTTTTTGCAATTCAATCTGATTATGTGTCTAACGATCTACATTTTTCTCGATTACATTCGTCGAGTCCCCGTCATTAGTATGACGAGACAATTTTCCAAGTTCTTATCCTCCGTGGTCGTTTGAGTCTCTCCTTCCCTTGGCCAATCGTCGTCGGGCAATTTTACGCAAGTGCGTGTATTCCTGGATGCGTGCGCCCCACGAAAGCTCACGAGCTTCCTGTGGAAGGATGAATGGGAATCAAGTCAGTCGGCGGAGCGGAGGCTCTAACATTCGTACGGGTTTTTCGTCGTTTCCCGACGCGTAGCCGAATATCGCTCGCTTTCGTGCTCGAATTTATTCTTCCTTTCTCGCGCAACGAATCGTAGATACGCGAAGTGATCGGCTGTTTAATTGATTCTCTTAGATCTCCCTTATTTCCGAGATTAATCCAGAGTGTTTCGCCGAGCAGGTGGACATATTTGAACACGCGTTCCGTTCAATCGAAAGACGTACGCGACGTGGCGATTTATTCGCGTTAATGTTAAAAACGCGGCACTTGGAGAGTCGAACATTCAAGTTCCGGCTGGCTGCTTATTGATTTTTTAGCCGCTGCAACAATGATCGCCGTTTGCCATTGTCGTGCTGTAGTCATCGGTAAATAATGTGCAAGACGAGTTCGTTGCTGAGAAAAAGGGGAAAAACAAATCGAATCGCCGGGGGAACGTTGAATCGAGGATTGTGCAAGTCCGTAACGACGCGGCGTTCGTAATTTCATCACGAAGGCACCGCCGAGTCGCACCGAAAGGAAGGACGCGAAGATAAAACAATATTACTCGACTTGGCGGCACGAATGTGTACGTTCCAATAAACAAGAGCGGCGAACACGGACATCCGGTCTCATGAATCACCGGTATATTCTCGAGGATGTACGTAAGATACGCCGCTAGAGAGATATTCGTGGATGTCGGGGCCGTGCATACGACCAGACGACCGATGACAAAAATACCGTCGATCCTCATCTCGGCCTCGAATCTTAATCTCCCATTCGCTCATTAATCGGCAGGGGGAGGGAGGATAATCGAAAGCAACGGGACTACGAATTCGATGAGGAGCTGGCGAGTTTCGGACCACCGGATAGTATCGAAAATTTCTCGAATCGAGTGCGCACGACCATGAACCGGTGCGAAGACGCTATTTCACACGGTAATACCCATCGACGCGAGCCAGCGGTTCGCGAGAAAGTTTGCGAGGCGTAAGATCGGGCGTAGCGATCGTGAGCAGCGTTGGCTCGATTCGTCAGACACGACAGTGAGATGACGATCCATTAATCATAGCACACACGCACGTACACACACACGCTCTCTCTCTCTCTCTCTCTCTCGTGAGGTCATGCATCGACAATAGACGCATTATTCGTGCTTGCGTTTGTCGCGAGAACAAGAGCGGTCTCGCGACCCGCCCGCGCGCCCCTCGCGGAGACGCGAAACGTAAAACTCGATTCCGAATGTGCATTACTGTCATTAATCGCACGTGCTTCGCTTTCATTCACGCCGACTCCCTCCCGCCGAGCGCACGATACGGGCGTTCGCATTCGCGCGGCGATTGGCCGGCGGTGACGTGCCGGCGAGCTCCACCGTACTCCCGATTGGTCGCCGCTTACTCCCGCGTACTACTACCGTGAGCGCGAGGTCGAGCCGGTCGTGCACTACGAATAGAAGCGAAGCGTCAGGTCAAGGCGCGCAACGCGGAGGAGCGAAGCACCTCTTCGAGAGACGGAGGGTGAGAGAGAGAGAAAGCGAGAGCCAGCCGAGGAGAGTGTGTTGCCAACAAGGAGTTTGCGCGGGCACGACGACGACGGCGAACGAGTGTGTAGCGTCTCTACTCCACCAATATGGCGGTGCCAGCGTACACGCAACCGCTATTTTCGAATCACCGAGCTCGCGGGCCGCACGCCACTGTCAATCACACCGTGCTCGCGATATTGGCGTACGTGCTGTTGGCGAAAGGTATCGATCAAACACGCGAGCGAATAACCTCCTCCTACCTACGTCGATCACGAATATCGTGCGAGGAGCATCGTCCGTCGCGCCACTCACCGCTGTTGCAGCATCGCAGTTCGAATAACAGGATGTGGTTTATTCGCGACGCTACCACGACTTCGGGATAGAGCGTGACAACGACGACGCGCGTGCCGAGCTCTCTCTCTCTCTTTCTCTCTCTTTTGGCCATGTGTGTGTGGGTGCGTGTATACGTACTGCGCGGCTCAGCACTCTTACAATCGACGATTCTATTCATCCGCATCTGTCTCGTGTCTCATTGGTGAACCGCTGCATCGGCCTGTATCCTCCTCGTCCCCTTGTCCCTCCTTGCTGCCCCACCACTCCGTGATTTCCTTCTTCTGCTGTCTCGTTCATAAAATTGACGAGTTGTTTATTTCCCGTACGGCTCGACGGTAAAATGCGACGTTTCCTTCATTGTACGTTTCACGTCGACCGCGTTGCCGACGCATTGTCAGCTGCGAAACAAACACACACACACACACACCATACACACATCGTGTTGGTTGTAATCAAATTTCCATGGGCGATAAGAGGCACCAGAGATTAAGTGAATTCTTGCCGCTTGGCTTGCGTGACTGAGATCACGTAGTTTTTTTTTTTTATACGTACGCTTACAGAATCTCGCGCAGTACTGATGAATGTGACGCTTTGATATTGTGATAACACCTCTCCCAGTGTGTCATAACGTGCAATCTTTTTTACGATTTTAATTATAGATGGTACGAGCGTTTCCTTAACTTATCAATATGTGGATGATGCGAATTACTACCATACAACCATCAACAATGGCGATAATATAAATCCCTTGGAGAGATTGTATTCGATATCCAAACAGAAGTGGCATAAGGACACAGTGGTACCAAACTCCTTATTGCCATCTACAAAAGGAATGCCTGCGAGATCTCATCACAGGTAAAGCTTACGTGTATCATGTGCATTCAAGATGTGATATCAAGAGCGATCAGATTCCGATATCATTCAGAATAACAAAGTCTCCTCCTCATCTCGATGTACTCTTCACGCAGGATCCGGCAGTCCATGACAGATGATGCTGGAATGGATCTGCAAGTGGCACAACTCAGTACTCAGACAGATCAGGAAGTACATTCCAGGACGACTCTATCATGGGTTGATTGGCAATTGCCACTCTTTATAGCGCTCTGTGCCATCGCTGGCACTATTCTTTTTACATTCCTGGTGAGCAATCGATCTTCTCGCTACGAGGAAAAATTATAAAAAAATTATAGACATTATATGTAGAGAGATTGTGAGATTGAAAGGCAATTACGGGTGCACTTCCATTCTCCTCTTCGTAACAAATACAAATGACTCGAAAGCTCCAGTCTTACTAATCTGACATTTGACTAGCTTCAGTATAAGTGGATCATTTCACTCGAGTGCACGACTGTACAGTATAATGAGAATTTTTCCAAAGGTCCTGTTATGGCTGCGGAAACAAATGTCGCGTGAAAAAGATACCGAGGATGGCGATCGGCAAGGTCTGGTAGAAGAACGTGCCACATGTTGCCCGCCAGACAAGTTAACCAAAGACACGAAAGGACCCGTAGAGGCCGAATGGGTACACGAAGCGGCCGCGAAGCCGGCCGCACCCGCGCACCCGATACAACCGATCCCTCAAGCTTCATGTTTACCGGAGGTAAATCCGCCGATATGATTCGCGGGTAACGTTATGAAATCGCGACGAAAATACAACTATCCCGTTGGAACAGGTAATATCCGTGGCGACGTCGGAACGCAGACCGGATCCAGTCCGCATAAAACCAAAGAAATTGATAGAACGACGGGGCTCGAGCACAAGTTTGACTATAGGACTGGCGCCAGCTCCCGAGAGCCCACCCCACATGGTCACTCCGACGCGGGAGTGTACGGCGGAGGAATTTTTATTGAGCGCGGGAAACGTACTGTCGAGGGCGCAGCTGAAGAGGGTGGTCAACGATCCGACGGTCTTGCATAAAGAATTCTGGGAGGTGCCGTTGAACCTGCCGGAAAAAGTGGACATTTGCGGCTCGGGGGTGAAAAATCGATACTGCTCCGTCTTGCCGAATCCGCAATCGAGAGTGGTCTTGCCGAGCTCTTCAGACGATCCTCTCGCCGGTTATATAAACGCCAACTACATTCGAGTACGTAGGCAATGGGGCACCGTCGTTATTCAAATGTCTCATTGAACTAAAAGTAGACACAAAATTGATTAAGACTTCAAGGTTTTCAATCGGGATAACAGAAGGTAAACATGGCCGCAATGTGAGCCGAAGCGCGGGTTTCGTTGTGTAACCGTCTTGAATTAAATGAAAAACCGAAGAGGAAAATTTGACGAATAGTAGACGAATGAATCAATTGCAGGGATACGACGGCGAGGATGCCAAGTACATCGCGACACAGGGACCATTAGCTCACACGATAACAGACTTCTGGAGAATGATTTGGGCTGACAAAGTCCCGGCGATCGTCATGATTACCAGACTGCACGAGGCGTCTAAAGCCAAATGCGACGCGTATTTTCCCTTTGACGTGAACGGTCGTATACACGCGGGTCCCTTCACCGTCATAGTCAACTATATCGATACGAGGGACGGTTACACTGTCAGAACCATGGAGATCAGGCACGAAGGAGAAAGGCGACATTTGCAGCATTACTGGTAACGGAGCTACTTGTTATTTATGCGATAAAACCATAGATTGCCAGGTCTCCGCAGTACACCGCTTTTATCGATTACTATTTTCGTGCTCTATTATTTCAATGCTGAAATGAAATGATCGATAGGTATGACTCATGGCCGGACCATGCCGTACCCCAAGCTGCAGATGCGCTCGTTGGTATGGCGGCGGAAGTAAACTCTTTATCAGGGACAATCGTCGTCCACTGCAGCGCAGGCATCGGACGTACCGGCTGTTTCATAGCGTTAGCGACAGGAATGACTCAACTTGTAAGAGATGGGAATGTCAACGTTTTAGGTATCCTATGTCAAATGAGGTAAGAGGTGATGAGGCTTTTGATATAGTCTGCCCTATTTCATTCTATTCTACTCAGCGCTACCACCCAGTCACTTAAATAACTTTTTCTTGATAAGTCATTAAAAAATTTACTATCGTCCAAAATTAATCGCTATATTTTCATCGTTTTTCTGAGTTACTGTTAAATTTGTAAAACATATACGTTCTACAGATACACATAAAAAATTAGCCTTAAATCAAGAATAGGTATTCTCATATATAAGCAAGAATATTTATTATAATCTTCTTAGGAGGTTTTTAGTTTTGAATTGAGTTTAAATAACTTAAATAACTTAATAACTTGCATCAATATAAATTCAATCAAATCAAGATTAAATTCTTCTAAAAAGTTCATGATATTCTTGCTTATATATGAGAATATCCATTCTTGATTTAAAATTAATTCTTTTTCTATGTATGAAACTAAAAGATGACATGTGAATTTTCAAAGACTGAAGTTTATTTTTATTTAATAAAATATACCTATTTATTTCATTTAATAAAACTGCTTCAAAAGCATACTTGCATCGTTCATGCTCTTGGTCTGTTCTTGTTATCAACTTTCAAACCATACTGTCAAAATAACTTGCTATATATTAAGTTATCTAAAGATAAACCTGAGAAGATAAAAGAAAGTGACTCTTTTGTTTAAATACTTTTGCTTAGTTACTCTTAGAATTTGACAAAAAATGTCACTTTTAGTCACTACTTTAATACTTGACAGTCACTTTTGCCATCTTTTCTGGAGCAGTCATTATTTCATTTTTTTATCTGGTGACTGAATGGCAACGCTGACTACTTGTACACTCTATAGAGATTTCCACAAGTATACGAGTACCCTTGATCTTCCAGATATGACAGAGGAGGCATGGTGCAAACAGCTGAACAATATGAATTTGTTCATAGAGCACTTTATCTTTTCGAGCAGACGTTAGATAGCAAACCGTCAATGACTTCGGCGAGCAGCAACTGAACGGATCTTCTAGGAAGCGTTTCTCTTTTTCTTCCTCCCCCACAAGAGAACTCACTGTCGCACGTGAGAATCACTTTCGTCCAGGTGTGCATACGTGTCTGCCGCGCAAGAGTGTTTAACTTTTTATGAATCTCAACGTCAGCTTGTGAACCGGCGGTCTCGTTATCTCTCTAATATTCGGACGAGTTAAGACTCGTTTAATAAGCTGCCATTTACTACTGCCATGACAAAACGTTGACAATTAATATCGCTCGCAAAGCTCAAAAGGAGAACGAGAGGATTCACCGTTGGAGCGCAATTTTCTAAGCAGGTGCTTTTTAAAAACTGTACTTCAGTAATAGTTTAACAAAGGAATTGCTTTCGTTTATAGTGACGCGCGATATGAATCGTACGATACGTACGCTCGACTTGAGAGAGAAAGAGAGAGAAGGAGAGAGAGAGAGAGAGAGAGAGAGAGACGGGAGATTATTTTATAAGTTACAAAATTAAAAAATAATCCCCTCGGACGCGGCGATAACGTACTCGCGATTGCGTATCGTGAAATTTCTACTTAAAAAAAAAAAAAGGAAAAAGGCAGTTACTGGACTTGAGATCTGATTATCTATACATTCCTCGTGTGTACTATGAAATAGCTGGTAAATCTTGATGAACATTCTCTGAGAGATACACGAATATGTAACTGAGAACACTGTCGCGATTTTAATAATCGAGGTAACGTGAGATTCTCCGTTCGTAGCGTCACGACGGAGTAAAATGTGTGACAAAATTTACCGGGCCGACGTGCATGATGAACTAAAGTTAATTGTAATTACTACCTTTAATGGAATCTAGTTAAATGTGTGAAATCGTGACAAGTAACAACTGAATTACTAATTTATGGGACCGATAGAGAATCGATTAGATACTGTCCTATTTCCAGTTCCTATTTGATTTTCAAGTATCTCTATGATTTTTACGACTTTTATTTAATTCATCAACTAAGACTGAACACAGGTAGTACAATATATAATAATTATTTAGATTATAAATCAATTTAACGATACAAAAAAAGGAATCCCTATAGCAGTTAGAAGTATATTCACTCTATTCGGGAAAAAATGTATTATAAGGCAACTAAAAAAATTTATATAGTATAATTCTTGCCTTGTATTTTATGAACAGAGATATATTTAATTTGTTAATTTCACAATTATTGATTAATATATACGAAAAGAAGTACTGCATATTACAAATATAAGTAGATATTTATGAAAACTTGAAAACACATAGAAACGTTTTATGTACAATCGTTGCTTGATATTTTCAACCTTGAAAATTGCTTTTGTCGGAAATTAATATTCAACACATGTTTCAGTAAGTTGGTATGAATTTTTCAATCATTACCGCGAATTTGTGGATGGCAATAAACGATCATCACACCATAATCATTCTGTTGTTCGAACAAACGCTATTCACTTGGTTGCTAGTACTTTTCAAATACGACCTCTTAGCTAGTAATATAATAATAAACACCAAAGTTTTCGATAGTCTAAACTCGGATAACACCTTAACACGTTGGGTGCGTGGTTATATATAAGAGAATGCCCAGCTCGATCTAAAGGTTGAGCTCGCACCCAACGTGTTAATCTACGGTGTACGTTGTGTATGCATTTTAAAATGCTAGCAACTAGCTCGTTGTGTTTGTGGTCCAGCTTGACGGCCGCAACTTACCTTGAATACACTCGAATTTAAACAGGAATATAAAAATGTATCTGGCTTTTGTGTGTACACAACAAATGTCTAATGGAACAGTTACATATGTGCTGTAAGGAAAGCGAGATCTTTCAATATATCTAGATAACTCGCATCGCTTGTTATTGGTTTGAATTTTTGGTAAAACACCTCCAGATACATATACAAAATATGCATTCATGTATATGCAACTACACCTATACATGTATATGTATACCAACATATACACATACATACAGGAGTGTACACAGATGTATATATATGCATGCACATGCATATACTATGTATATAGATACATTGTACAGAGAGCAAAAAAAATATATATATATTTAAGAGAGTATGTATTTGTGTAAGATAAAAATATATTATTTATAAATGCGCAAAGCCGCAAGTGACTTAGCAAAGATGTATCAATAGGCCACACAACAATAACAACAATAATAATAACGATAATAATAACAGTAATAATAACAATAATTTAGCAACCCCTCGGTGTTCAATTGTACTTATGTGATGTAATAAATGTTTATAGTATCCGTGCATACACACATGTCAGATTCATAAAATATTTTCTCTTCCCGAAGTTTGTCGATTTAAACAAAAAATTACTCGACCAAAACGAAAGACGAGGGAATCGTAGTTTAAAGAATTTCCCCAAGATTGCGGTTATAAGAGCAACGTATAGTTTAGGTAGGTGTAAGATCGATCTTTATTGCATCAATGACTGCGTTCGGCAGAACGTTTGTTTTGCAACTGGAAATTGGCAATTTCTTGTACCGAGATTGGATTATTTATCTAGGTCTAAGTGAATAATCCAATCTCAGTTCAGAAAACGTGCAACAGTTGCAAAATAAACGTTCTACCGAACGTGGCCATTGTTGCATCGAAATAACGAACGTGCGCCCAACAGACAGACGAAACATCTGACAGACTTACGCACATACACTTTCGTATTTCACGCAGAGAGTACTCACCGAGTACCGAGCAGTTCTCGAGGTGACTTCCTCCTTTGTCGGGAAAACCGAGGGGCTCGGTGACCGCAACAGTCCACGAACCCGACATCTCTTGCGTCCCGTACCAGCGGCACGTACCGTTGACCATTTCGTGGAAAACGCAACGTAATCTCGTCTTCACGCCGATTCTCACGTTCAGCCGAGCCATCAGGTAACGTCGCGGCCGAGACGTTTTCCCCGAGGGCACGCCACCACCTTCGCCGAGAATAAGCCGAGACAAAGCGCGATATCGCACGACATTCCACTTCGAAACGACGCCCGCGCGATTCAACTTTTTTCAGGAAGAAACGCAACGCTCGCTCGCGCGCGCACCGTCCGCGCGCATCTCACGCGCGATCTTTCAAACAAGCCTGGATCAGGTCACGTGACCACAGTCCGTTCTCCTCGTTCCGCCGTGGAGCACACGCACGGGTGGAGGCGCGCGCTTGCCTGTGTGTGTGCTAACTCAACGTTGAGCGTGCACGAATGTGCATGTGTGCGTGTGGTATCGGCACCGAGGCTCGGATTTAGTCCACGGCACGGGATTACCGCGACTCGAGCTATTCGTGGAATAGTCCATCCGTCCGATCGCTGACAGGAGCGATCTCGCGCTATTAACGATCTACGTTTCGCGCGTACGTAGAGAAAGAAGCAGAAGAACGAAGTTGGGAGAGGGAAAGAGAGAGAGAGAGAGAAAAGAAGCGGAAGCGAGCGTGTGTACGCGCGTTCTTCTGGATCCGCGCGAAACGCGACGGTGCCGTGAAGTTCGCCGCGCGAGAGATACCCATCGGCACCCGCGCGCGCGCGCTCGGTAGTAGCGCGCCTTTAGTCGCTAGTCGTCCGTAGATCGCGCGAGGAGGCGCGAGATAGGAAGTGAGGTAAAAGGAGCGCGAGAGGATACGTTCGAGCGAGCGAGCGAGGTACGGAGGAGGCGTGATCGACGCGAGGATTACCGCAGGACGTGGTGTCTCTCTGCGCGTGCTATGTGGGACGTCGCGGAGCGAAACGTCGCGGCTCGAGCGCGGAATGGGGCCCGTTGATCGGGCCCGGAACAACGGCTACGGGCTCCGACGCGCACCGACCACGGAGACATGGACGTCATCGGGGACGGGGACGAGCAGACCCTCCAGGCGATTCTCGGTGAGTACTCTCCTTTCCAATGCCGTATCCTTTTCTCGGAGACGCGTTTCTTCGTCGATGCGACCGTCACCACGTCCGACTCTCGGAATTTGCCGTTCAACGTCACCTCTCTCTTTCTCTCGCTCTCTCTTTCCTTCTCTCTCTCTCTCTCTCTTTCTGCGCGACGCTAAACTCGATTCGTCGCGATTTTTTCGTGCGTCGCACCGAACGATTTCGTTTGCATAACGCGGAATAACGGGCTCGGTCTCATTTCGCGCCTTTAATCGTGTCGCCTAACAGTAAATACCGTATCCTCCGCGCGTCATTAGTAGCGAGTGAGCGCGGATCAAGAGAAGCGATAACAGGGAAGCGTGTTTGACAAAGAGCGGCGATGACAGCGGTGGAATGTCGCGAATTTGACACTGCGACACCGTTATCGTGTCGGCTCGCGCGCGTCGCGTCGCGCGACCGTGCTACGCCTGCTTCTCTCCTCGTCGGTAGCGACGAACGAAACGATGCGTGCCTGCCTGCCTGCGTGCGCTCGAGCGTGCGTTGACCTTAAACTCGCACCGGATACGCGCGTTTTCGTCTCCTTTCGACGCGGTGGAGCTGACGGACGCGACACGAGAACGCATCGTGTTGCGTCCGCCGACCTCGACGCCAGAATCGACGGATTCGCGTGCGAAGCGTCGTCTCAGGATCGCCATAGTGGTTCGTTCGCCGCGTCGTTGCTCCGTTTGTTGCAACCGAAATCGCGATTTCGCGATGGACGGTTCGCGTTTATTCGACAGCGGAGCTTCCGGCCTCTCCGCCTGCGTCGGTAACCGGCTCGTGAGCCTGAATCTCACGCACGGTGTCGTAAAATAACGCCTTTCGGGGAGCGATACGTCGCTCGAATGGCCCTGTTAGGAGCTCTCGATGTCCGCCGATAGAAAGCCACCGATCGGCGAGGGGAAACGCGCTGTCGATCGGGACTTCGATGCTCGTGGAGGCGTCTACGATCGATCGGTCGGTCGATCGTGGAATCCGCCGCCGTCATCTTCTCGCGAAACGCGAGAGGCTCTTCCTCTCGTCGCTCGCGGGCTGCTGAGAGGAGGTCCTTAAAGGAGAGTCACGCGCTTACGTGGATATACGCTTATCCTACTTTTGCCTTGACTGCGCTGCTCCCCTCCACGCCGTCGCGGAAAACCGCGTCTCCGCGCGGCGTTACCTGTTTTATACACACTCGCGCTTCATAGTCGAACGCTTCGCGCGTGAGCTCGCGCGTCTCTCGCGACCGGCCTCTGTTCTTTCTTCTTCCTCTTTTTCTTCCGCTGCCACGGACCTCGCCTTGATCCAAGTCCTCGGCTCGGCAATGTCCGATCGCCGCGATCGTCGCGGAATACGAAAACAGCCGAAGAGCCGGAGGGCAGGGAGCACAAAAGAACGCGTCTCCGACGACGCGCGTGTCTCGAGAGCGCGCGCGCTTCTCCCGCCGCGTGTATTTACGTTTCGTCGTTGCGGCGCGCGCTCGGGATTTACCGCGTGTACTTCCATGCCGAGAGTGCGTTCACCTGTAACGAGTGCGGCGTGGCGTTCCTTATGTAGGTCAGAGGTTGCGGCGTAAACGCCGCACGATCTCGGAGATGAACGCTCGCCGCCTCGACCGCGGGACGAGTCGAGGAATGGAACGTTCTCGACCGGCGGATCCTCTCGACGTGTAGCCCGCGGTGCTCCGGTGATTTGGTCGTTCCAGTTAGACGGAGGGAGAAGGAGAGAGGGAGAGCAAGAGACGCGTGTTCGTTCTCTTCCTCTATGCCGGCGAGAAAAACTCAGTTGCTGCAACTGAACAGGGACCAGATGAAAACTCGGTGATAAGAAAGTCGGTGACGTAAAGCGAGATGTTTGCCTCTCTGAAGGGAAAAAGATCGGTCGAATTCACGTGGCGATGAATGAACCGAATGCGTTTCGATCGAAGGGAACTCAATTGCTGGGCCTTAGAGTCAGAAATCCCGTTTCCTTGAATGAGAATTGTCACGTGAATTCAACCAGTCTTCTTACTTGCGTGTTACCGCGACTGAGAACTCTCGTCTCTCTCAGCTGCATCGAAACTCGTGATCTGTTCTTTTCAGCCGAACTGGCTGCGCTAGTTCAAGAAATTTACATACACATTGAAACGCACGAAGCATACTTGCAAGATTCTCACGCTTCACTGTGCATTAATTTCTCGAACTAGTGCAACTAGTTCAGCTAAGAGGAACGAATTATCGGTTGAGACAACCGGGAGCAATTGACCGAATGGAAAACCTCCCGCAGGAATCTTCCTCTAGTTTTAGAACCGAGTATTCATCTGGTATCCCCAGGCAAAGGAAATTTCAGTCTCCACCGGCGGAATTGTTATTTCCCTGTACACTCGACCCGATTCATTGACGTCAACGCGAAATCCACCGGCCATCGCCGCCGACGACTCCACTGTTCTCTCCACCGCGGACCGACAGTGAAAGTCGCGTAGTGAACGTGCTTTTCCGTTTATTTGGAATTAACGGCTCGATAATTCACGGTAACCTATACCGAACGGCCGACAACGGGCGCCCGCCACTGTGCATTCACTTTTTTTCGTGTTACCCTGGCTGGCTGTTCCAGCGTTAGCGTTAGCTCTTCTAATCACTCTCCCCGATCGAGCAGCTCCTTTCATGCCTAGAGAGTCGCATCTTTCGAGCACGTCGAGTGCCGCTTTTTTTTTATTATCTTTTACACAAGGCGGTCGTGAGAGTAACGCGTTGAGTTTAATAATAAAAACGATGGAAATTATTCGACGGCCGGAGTTACTATGAAGCGACGCCGCTCGCGCGACACAAAATAAGTTAATGGCCGACGTGTATTGTGTGCCGTACGTACACACGCGTCATTGACAAGAAAGATGTGGAACATGACGCGGTTCATTCGTGCGTTTCGAAACATCTCGTTTTTTTCCTCTTTTCCCGACTCGGCGAAACGCACACGTCGCGCGCCGCGCACACGTGTATGACGAAACGCACCCGGCAATTATCATCATGTGACGATAATTGATTTATTCCGAGCTTACGCTCCGCGACAATGGTTTAATCCTGCAATTAAGAATTTGATGTTCGCGTGCTAATTCAATAATCGTCCGTCGCTGGATATTTGTTCTTTTCGAGCCGCGCGGTGTATAGTCAGTCACAAAATAGTCGCAGCACTTTTTGATTTCGAAGTTTGGAACGTATCCCGTGTTCGGTAGAATTTGTCTTTTAGTAATTCTTAGGAGACATATTTTGCTACTGGATATGCGAGTTCCGTCGCGAAACTTAAAAAAGTGTCTATAATAATGTTGTAAACTTTTTGCGACTGACCGCATTATTTTGTTTTATTCTCGAAGAGAAAAGGTCGATTACGTTGCCATTATAGGCAAATGGATAGGTAATGATATACAATGTCTGCTTGTATCTGTTCGTGTAAATACACATTGCATACCATTACCTATCTGTTTGTCTACAACGGCTACATAAGTAACGCCCTCAAATATATCGTACTATGCTGGATCTAAATTATCATGTGTGTTTGTTGAGTAAGATTATACTGTCATTTTAACTGTTTTAATTTTTAACCTTTTAATGATCAACATCTTTATTTTTATTCTTTTAGTCTTAAGAAAACTCATCTTTAGAGGTAGTTTTCTTTGATTCGATGTACATATACTGAGTTTGACATTAACGCCATTTTTCTGTTACTCCGAGATTTTTAAATTTGCGTTGAAGAGGATTTAAATTTGATGGACCGAAACGTTCGTTACACGGAAAAAAAATTAGTCTTAACTCAAGATAGGTATTCTCATATATAAGCGAGAATATTATGATATTCTTAGAAGGTTTTAATCTTGAATCGCGTTCAAGTAATACCTGCGTCAATACAAATTCAATTAAATCAAAACTAAAAGTCTTCTAAGAAAATTATAATATTCTTGCTTGTATATGAGAATATCTTTGATTTAAGACTAATTTTTTCCTACGTAAAAATTAAAAAATTGAATGTATCCATCTTAACATTGATGACTTGACTCTTACTTTTCTTCCAAGGTTGGCCGGATTAACGTGACAATAAACGCGAACCGAACACGTTTTCGCCGAAGGAAACGGGATTTATAGTTCTCATGAACTAAATTCGGTGGTTCTTACAACTAGAAATTCTCCTTCAACCAAAGCACGTTTAGTGCGTTCATTGTCGCGTTAATTCAACTAATATTTTTCCCCGTGTACCTTATCGGAAGAACTGTGGAATCGCGGAAATTGAATCGTCGGTGTTGCAATGGACTGTTCCTCGACTGTTGCTTGACTCCACCTTCGTCCGATTCGTTTATAAATAACGACGAATGATGCGCACGGCAAGTTGTAGTTTATTGCGCTCGATATAATAATAGCGGGCGCAAATTGCAACAAACGGTGTCGTCAGGAGGAGCAATTTACTACTTACTACTTATGCTTCGGCGAAGCGACGCGAGCGCGCGAGCTTTTCGCGACGTTCGCTTCGAAAGCCCGATCGTCTCGTGAGTGTGTCTCGGTCTGCAACCCTTGAGGAGGAAAGGACGAAGGAATCATTGAAATTCGAAGTTTTTTCCAGGCTCGCTCGGCCGCGTACTGCGGATGATTATTTGCAACTGGCATTAAACGAGAGTCTCGTTGGGTCGCACATCGATCGCGACCTAAAACTTATTTCGAACCGCGCGGCGTTCGCGGGTGAACTTAAATAAAACGATAATGAAAGTCGAGTTCGATCGTCGGGCTTATCGGTGATAGTTGAACGCCGCGGGGATGAATTATGGGATTTCGTCGTATGAAATGGCCGTTCAGGAAAGCCGACCGAGAGCGCAAGTCGCAGGACGCTTTGTGCCACCCACGGCGGCACATTGGTCGATGAAAAGCTCCACGGGTCCGCCTTTCTCGCGAAAAGCTCGGGCATGCGCCCCTTCGGCTTGCGCCATCGAGCAGGAGAAAGAGGCTATTTACTAAGCGTATTTTGTTGCCCTT